GAGAACGGTTAAATATTGCCTCGAGAGCGAGTCGCGCGAGTTGATCGATGTGTGTGCGCGATTCGTCGCTCGTGCAAATTATTTTGCAACGAGAGAAAGCCAAGTGCGGATAAGACGTAGGAAAAGCTCGAGTCAGTCATACATAAAAATCGTAATCCAAGTCGCGAGGCGCTTTTATATATCATCGCCCTTATAGAGCGCGCGCGATACGCGATACATAGCTACGCGGCGGAGATGCGGGGCAATAAAAAAGAGGAACCGCCGCCGCCGCCACTGTCGAGCGAACAGGTTGATACAGAGCTCGACTCGAGCTGAGAGCGCAAGACTTGAAATGTGTTTGCAGTTCCGTAGCTGAAACAATATGTATAGCCGGGCGAAGGAAGCGAAATTACGATTGCATGAATGCAGATGTAGGGAGAGAGAGAGAGAGAGAAAGCGAATATATACGAGTAGAGACCGAGAGACGTATCATTTGTAGCCGATGCTTTTTGTGGCCTCAATGTCGACTCGAATGATAATTAGTTGCAGAGAACATGGCAGAACGAGTGAGCAGTATAGCACGTGGATTATCGTTAAGTGTGTGTGCATGTGAGTGTGGGTGCGTCGGTGTGTGTACTGTGCGTGGATATACGTACGAGCTTGCGTGGGAGCTTGCAGGGGGAGAGCTTGCGATGCTTGGCAAATAGATTTTACAGAGTGGATTGCTCCGCGATGCGAGCAACTTATATACGTGCGACCGAGCAAATGTATAGGCGACGAGCTTTTTCGTGACCAACGGCCAGCAATAACGATTTATGGCGTTTTACTCTTGATTTTCTATCTCGAGCTTTCTTTTATTACTACGACTACTGTACGTACAGTGTAGGTACGTCGTATACTCATTACAGAAAGTAGCCATTAAAAAAATGCCCCGGCCGCGCTAGGCGTAAACAATGGGCCAGATTTCTTCCAATGAAAAGAACGAGAACGTATACGTGGACGAGACAATGAGTCGAGAGCAGATGATCCGTATCAAGTCGTTTTTCTCTCGGCACGACGACGACGACGACGACAACGTCGTGCATTTGAGCGTCGCGTCGCGGACTCGCTAGCGTTTGTTCTCTCGGTCGGTTGCATTTTTAGCCCAACGGTATGCGCGTGCGAACGAGCGGCGGAGCGCTCTGTATTTCCCGCGCGTTCGAAAATAGCGTAGCTGACGACCAAAAAGCGAGGACGAAAAAACGCGCGCGCGCAAGCTCGCCGCCACCGAGTGGAGCAAGTAGAAGAAGAAGAAGAAGAAGCCGAAGAAGAAAAAGAAGGTCATTTGCGCGCGAGTATCGAAGAAATGACGCGCGCGTCTCTCGCGGTTTATACGTGCATCATAACGACCGAGCGCGGCTGTGTGCAAACACACGCGCGCACACACACACACACACTCACTAGATAGCAAGAACCAAGAGAGACTTAGATACATTTGAATTTTCAAAATTTAATTTTAGGTTCACAACAGCTGCTGCGGCTACATTTGCTCTCTGTGCGCGTACACGTTCGCTCGCTCGCACGCGCACACAATGTGTATGACGTATTTGTTATAGTCATCTTTTGGATCAACAATCCCCTATTATAACGTGGGGGCGAGAATCAAGGTTAATTAAAAATTCTGCCCTCGTGAGAAAAACACGTGCTGCTGCGCGCAGCTATTTTTATTATCTATTATTGTAACTAGTGCCGCTCGTGTATTGCCCTGCGGTCGCATATATATATTTATGAAAGCGTATATACTATAAGAAAAAGAGAAGAGGAGCTGCTGCTGCGCGCATAGGAGCTCGAACTTGCGGTCCAAAATAAATCTGTGTGAGTGCTTGCAGCTGTTGCGTCCGGCATGGCAGTCGATGGACGCTTATACGGCCGCTACAGCTTTAACTCGGCCTTTCTCGCTGTACGTACCATCGATAGAAGAGGCTCTAGCAGCAGCAGCAGCAGCTTTTAATTAGGAAAACATTGCCTCGTGTGCATACGCAAAAACAAAGGAAAGAAAGATGAATTAATCTGGACGACGAAATAACAGACAAATTCATAATCGTCGCCCCCGACACGCAGGGTGGAACGTATATAGATGCTCTCTTCGGATCAACAGCTTGGAAAATTCTCAGCGCTCGCATATCAATGGAAAAAAACAAAAAATAAAAACGAGAGTCGAGGAAAAAAGAGACTAGACATACACATAAAGCCAAGAGCGAAGAGTAGTGCGCGCGCTGCGGCGTGGTGCTTTCCTCTGCAGGTCGCCTTTATATATCTCCGAAGCGAGAAAAATAGAATCAGAAATTCAGATATTTCGCTGCGAGAGCTGTGGTGTAGGGTACAGGTCAATCGTATAGCGCTTCCGGGGGTAGGGGCGCGACGGAAGCTCCGCTGCAATGTCTCCACCGCGCGCGCTATATATAGCAGCGTAGTCCGCTGCTACTACTACTACACCGCTTTGTTTTGCCTCCCTTAAAGTTGCGGTTGACACTGCGCGCTGCGCTACATAACTTTCCGAGATTTCGCACTTCTCGAACGCACTGCTGCTGCTGCTGCTTGGAAAATCTTCGCGAGGGCGACGATGAGATATATACCCGAGTGTATATATTATCTCGCAGCCGCGTGGCCCATTCGATTTTATCGCCTCTCGACTAGCTAGCGCTGCGATTCTTTATTTACGTATTTATTTATTTGTAAACGAAACTCGACTCGCGCGAGGTGTAATTGTTGTTGCTGCACCGACGCGACATTAAAGGGCCAAACAGCACACGAGAGAGCCTAAGTCAAATAAATTTTCTCATTCCTCATGCGCTGTATAGAAAAGGAGGGGGCTTGCGCGCTTATACTGCAATCTCTATATTATATATTATATAAGCTCGCCTCGCAAGGGCTATAAAACCCACCCCGCGTCGTCGCTCTCAAATCGCTCGTGTCTCACCCCCCAGTGCCAGTGTATACGCCGTATACATTGAGAGAGAGAGAGAGTCAGACGCTAGCTCGCGCCCGCACAAAACGAGAAAAACTCTTTTCTCTCTATTTTTCCAGACGACGATGTTTTTGCCTGATTACACGAAGGTAAAACCTTCCCGCCTCTTATCTCGCTCGTTTGATCTGTACGTCTGCTGCTGCTCTGTGTGTATATATGTGCATCCATAGATGAGGAATATGACAAACGCTCCGGCGCAGAACGGCAACTTATTTTCCATGTAATACGAAATGATGATATATATTTAGGATTCGAGAGATGCAATAAAGCGCGCGGGGATTCATGGAAATTTAATTTTTATGGCTCGAGCTCCGAGCTCCGAAGAAAAAAGATTTTCTTATGCGCGCACAAGACGATGAATGAGATTTACGGATGAAACGTATTATTCGAGCAATCGTTTCTCTTTCTCTCTCTCTCTCTCTCTCTTCTTTTTTTATTCCAACTTGTCTCTTAGTCACTATCGTCACCCGCATGAATATTACATTTTGCAGTAGGCGCGGAATCAATTCATCAGTCTAGGCGCGCGACAATTAAAACATACAATATGAAAAATCTCTCACGTAGAGGAGAAACAATTACTCGGCCGGCTATACGTGTACGGACCTTGGCCTCTCCCCGACGATTATAAAACTTTGGCAGGTGTCTCAGTGTGTGTGTGGCTGCTGTGTAGCTGTGTGCGAGAAAGAGAGAGAGAGAGACAGACAGAGAAGTAAAAAAAGTTTAGCTCGGCTCAAGAGGTTCAAGACATCGAAGGAGAGAAAAAGACGACGACAACGACGACGGCGAACGAAGAAGCTAAAAGTTAATTAGTCGATTGTACTTTTCACCGCGAATCTCAGGTCCTCTCTTTGGAGGACTTGCGGCAACTTCTTGTCTTGGAAGTAATTACAAAGCTCTACTTTTTCCTCTTGCGAGCGAACGTGTGGGTGTGTGTATGAGCAATATAAGTAATTGTCGCTTTTCTTTTAAAACGGCTCTCTCTCTCGTCCCCTGGTCCCAGCCGCCTCGGGGGCTTACGATTGCGAAATTCGTGTCACGTTCCGAAGAATCCGACAACGGGACGACGACGAGCGAGACACGACCGCGACCAGCACGACGACCGAGTGCGCTCACGGATCAATTAGGCACCGAGTTAGACTCGTCGTCTAAGCAATCTATCTGTAAAAATATTGCGTCGCAGCTGAGCTCTGCGTACGCGCAGCTATGGGAATTAAGTGTATACAGCTCTGCGTAACGAGCTAAAAGTCAAATTGCTCTTGTCTCGTCGTATAAATATATGTAGGCGTTGGAAAAGTTTCGCCGTTGCCCCGGAGCCCTTTTATTGTTACGACTGGCTCTCACGAGCACTTGTCCCTGTTTACGCATTTGACTATATTAGCGGCGCGTTGTATACATCATGCTCGCTGGCCCTCTCTCTTTCTCTTGGGGGGTAATGGAGTGTGCTTTTACGAGGCAGCGGCCCCCCCGTTCGCAATTAAAAGTCCAACGTCGAGCTGCTGTTGGCCAGGTGAAAAATGATAAAAAGCAAAGCGAATCGTCGAGGAGAATGGCGCATATCGGCGCTCGGCTCGTAAATTCAATCGACAATCAGCTCTAATCGCTGGCAATTCGAAGCCACATCTAAATCTAGCAATTTATACAGGAGAGAACGAGTGACTGCGTGTGTGTGTGTCTGGATATAAGCTCGATGAAATAGATCGGCCCTACAGGTCGGATACGGCCGCGAGTAGCTAGCACCGGCTGCCGCCCACGCGCGTTATACACACGAGCGCATACGTGCGCTGCCGCTCGCTTATATATTCCAGCTCTGCGCGCTCGGAATCCTCAAGGAGCCGGCCGATTGTTTTGTCGAGGTGCGTATAAGCTCGGGGCCGGCGCGTTGAATTATTCAGCCCGCGTATACTTTATAGGTACAGTCTAGGGCTATTTATCGTAAAATCTTTGCCGATGATGGAGCTCAAAAGCTTAAACGAGGCTCGCTCGCTATTGTTTGCGTGTGTGGTGGCTGTTGCAGAACGAGAAGCTCGAGGTGAAGCAGAAATGGGCGTCGCGACTGCTGGGCAAGCTGCGCAAGGACATCACCCAGGAGTACCGGGAGGACTTTGTGCTGAGCATCACGGGCAAGAGGCCGGCCATGTGCGTCCTCTCGAATCCCGACCAGAAGGGCAAGATGCGGCGCATCGACTGCCTGCGCCAAGCTGACAAGGTCTGGCGGCTCGACCTCGTCATGGTGATCCTGTTCAAGGCGATACCCCTGGAGTCGACGGACGGCGAGCGCCTCGAGAAGACGGCCGAGTGCGCCCAGCCGGGCCTCTGCGTCAATCCCTATCACATCAACGTGTCGGTCAGGGAGCTCGACCTCTACTTGGCCAACTTCATCACGAGTCACGGTAAGCGGGCCAATTCTTACTTCTTACTTACTTATTCGCAGCTGATACCGCGTATACGTAATCGCATACACATGTATAATATATAATGTTGGCCGCGGCTCGTGTACGCAAGTGTCCCAAAACCACTTGTTGTCTTGGCCTCACCCCCGTTGTCGTCGGCTCGTCGTCGGCTCGCTCGATCATTGGCCCCGGTGGCCCGCTCGTGCACCGAGTCCGCGTGTACGCGCTATTATAGTAGTAGTAGTAGTAGTAGTAGTCGGATCCAAGAAAAGCGGCGGCGGTGCGGCCACCTGTTAGGCCGTCATAGCTTCTCAAACACGTGTCCATCTGGCAAACCATCCACTGCCGACGAGCCAGCCTTATATACCATGTGCCAGTGCGCACATGTATAAACACTCGCACACGCCGCCAACGCCACCGCCGCCAGTGCTCTATACAGCCGGTCTGCCAAAGCTGCCGCTGCTACTCGTGTTCATTCACGACGTGCCTGAAACGCTCATTGAAGCTCGTCGATTCAAAACGCTTTAAGCTTGCCAAGCTTTCCCCGACTCATATAGAGAGCCGTGTGTGTGTCGGTGTGTCGGTGTGTCGATGTACGGGGCTGCTACGTATCGGACACCCACACGCACAGCAGCCACGCGCGCCGAGCTGGAATTTTCGCAGTCGCAGCCAGACACGAGACACGCGCCTGCGATGATGATGACGTCGACCTTGTGCTCCAAAGCCGACTCTAGAGAGAGAGAGAGAGAGAGAACAGAGCTCAAAGAGAGGGAGAGACAGCTGACGAGCCGACGCCAATTTCCTCCCACTTGTTCACCGCTGTTGTATTATACATCTCGCGGGCCAGGCCTATCAACACAGCCTCGCTAAAACTCGATAACTCTTCCCTTTTTTTCTCCTTTTTTTTTGCATTCGAGTCCAAGTGTCGGCCGTCGAGTTCACTGACTCTCGCTGTACAGCTCTCGGCTTGGCAGTTTAGCGCTTGCGTTTGGCAGTGGCTTTTATTATGTTTATCGCTACGTTGACCCGACAAAGCCGAAACTTTAGCCTCGGCATTACGAAATTAAGGCGTAACACGGACAACACAGAGAAATACAGAGAGAGAGAGAGCAAGTGAGAGCGAGGGACAGTCGAGGTGCATCCCCCGCGGCTCGACTCTGCTACGTACCGAGCGTCTAAATTAAGTGCGCGCGAATGGGTCAATGACCCAAGGCCGAAACTCGGCTAAACTTGCTTTACAATCAATTAGCGATCACTTCGTTACACATACTCGCGCATGGACCCACTAATGTACGTGCGTACGTATAATAATACAAGCGAGCTAGCGAGCGAACCACTTACCTAATCAGCAGCGAGTTAGTTCGCTCGCGAACGCGTTTGATAATTTACGCCGAGTGCCGACTAGCTCGAGTCGTGTCGAGTTCGACAAAAAAATGTTCCTTCGCTCGAGCTTCGCGCGAAACTACACAGTGTGAGAGAGAGAGAGGACGTCCCGCCGCCGTCGTCGTCGTCGTCGTCGTCGGCCGTCGACCAGAGCCGAGTCCGAATTAGAAGTTCACGTGATTCGCATCGTATATTACCGGGCCAGCTTGAAATTTTCATAATTAATTGCTCGCGTTGCTCTCGCTGCAGCAACAGACTCGCGAGCGCCCGTAATAGCTCCAGGTGAAATGAGTCGCGCAAGCTCGTCGTCGGCCCGCGAGCGCGTAAAAAAAGCCACGCACTAATTTTGAACGTAACTCTAGTGTGCCGCAAGCTCGCGTCACTCTAGCTACGCTCGTTGTCGCACTTCTTACCCGCTCGTGTTTTTTCGACCATCGCAATGATTTCTCGGCGGCATCGTCGTCGACGGCCGACGGTGTTAACAAGTTTTCAGCGCGACGAACGATCACAAGGCGGAAATAGCGATTGCACACAGGCACACACTGCTGCTGTATACGAGCATTGCGAAAGACACTTCTCGAACGCGTTATTTATAAGTTGAATCGTACACTGCGCGCGCCCGACTCGACTCTATCGTGCGTTCGCAGTTTGCAGCCTCGGATCGAACGGCGATCGCGCATAAACGACTCGTCGCCTAAACTGCAGCTCGAATTTTCTTCTCCTTTTCCGACTGCAAGCTACGAGAGTACAAAAAAAAATTATACATTATGCGAGCGAGAGATTAATATATTTACGCGAGATTCCGCGAGGGAATAATAATAGCTTTTTCGTCGTGTCGTTTACGCGCGAAAGACCGAGACTTTACGGCCATGCGCCGAAGATTTCTCAGGGTCTAGCTGAGCGTCTTTATACGTTGCACTACTTATATGTACTACTCGCGTACGTATAGTTATATATTGGCCTTTGACTCCCTCCCCATCGTCTCTCTCTCTCTCTCTCTCATTCTCTGTCTCTCTCGCCTCTCACACACACACACTCCCTCCTCGAAGCAGAGTCCGCGATTTATCGGGCCAACAAATGAACTCTCGCGCGCGCTTTTTACCCGAGATCTCGTGTTTTTGAGTTTATTTTTTTCCTATTTCATGCTTACGAGGATTACCGAGCCGTCCTATGAATTTTACTTCTTTCTTTTTTTCTTACCTTTTCTCTCCTTTTTTTATTTTCGATAAATGAAACGTCAAAGAGGTTCGATGTTCGATTCAAGTAGAATAAATTCGGATGCGGTCAGGCGTGTTGTACACTCGCCTGATCCTTTTGAGCCGCGAGCGCAGCGAAAAATTTGACTTGCTGAAAAGACGAGCACGACGACGACCGATGCTCGGGGTCAGTAGCATCACATAATTGGATTTACATTTAGAAAAAAGCAAAAAAAAAAAATAGCCAAACTTTGGGATAAATTATCCTCGCGATTGTTGCGAAATGAATCATTTTTCTCATTCATTTATATATATCTGCGCGAGCTTTAATGACCAAAGTTCTAGTAATTAAGTTTGGATACGAGTAAATTTGCCGTGAATCACTGGCTGCTGCTATTAAGCTTTTTATGGCTTTGAATTTTTCATTTTTACGCCGATTTTCGAGCAAAAAGAAAAAAAAGTCGAGTCGCTAGAAAGAAAGAAAGTCGAGCGCGGTGTGCGCTCTCGCGTTCGCGCAAGAAAATATCGTTATTGCTCGAGACTTTTATATTCCCTCGAACGAGTTATAAATATACTCTCGATGAAGCGAGCCGTTTGTTACGAACTGCGAGCAATCCCGACGATGATTCGATAAGCAACTGCATTAAAAATAAAAGAAAAGAAAAAGAAAAAAATGGCCAAATTTTGTTCTCTCTACTTGCAGAAGTATTAAACGGTATCTGCAACACGTCCAAGGAGGAGGAGAGACGGCGAAAAGGTACGTATTTGCACACATATACTCCTCAGACATGTATAAATCTTAAACGTGATGAGCTTGCACTTTGAAAAAAAATGCTTCTCTTCACAGGTGCAAGCTACCACGAACTGTATAACGGTGTCGTGTGCAACGACACGATCCTCGCGACTGGCGTCTTCAGCTCCAAAGAGCTTTGGATGCTTTCAAAAGGTACGAGCTACTATCAAACCCGATACTATTTGCTCTCTCTCTCTCTCTTTCTCTCTCTTTCTCTCTCTTTCTTTATCTCTATTTTTTACTTACTCTTCTTTCTTTTTCTTTTTTTTTCTTTTATCTTCAACGTTCGAGTGTCCTTGCTCTTTTGAACTTGTCAAAAGTTTTCGAGAATTAAAAAAAAAAAGAAGCGTTTTAATAATGATTGGAAAAAATTAGCGCGTTTAAAGGAGATGGATGCTTTCGAAAGGTATCGAAGCACTTCTACCTTTTGAAAGCATCTGTATACGCCTGACGAAGCGAATGAATAATCGGATCGCTTGGGTTGATTTTTCTTGTTTTCTGCTGCATGAACTAACACGAATCGTAGGACATACTTAAGAGCAAGGCCAATGTAACGACATAATAGCCACATATAATTTGACGCGTGCGTATGTCTTTTCAGCGTCGATTCTGCACGACCTCGGCGAAGTGCCGCCTCAAATAAATGCCATCAAAATAGAAAACCCGTACTACTGCAGCAGCTACACGCCACCGTCGGCGGCCACGGCAGCCGAGCACGCCGGACAGCCTCAGCCTAGCTTCAGTAAGTCGCAGCTTTTTACACGAATTCCCTTTAAAACTGCAACTATATCGTACATGTATTTATACTCGTTGGTCTATACGTCGTCTCTAATGGTACCGTGCCAGTGTATTAGTGTGCTTAAATGTTTGTGTATGTGTGTATGGATTGGGGACTACAGGGAGAAGAGTATATAGCGCGAGACGCGCGCTTATTTTCCAAGTGAGAAAGAGTATAGCGCGGGGCCTATATAGACTCGAAGTGGCGCGCACTAGAGAGAAGGGAACGCTTTAATTGCTCAGTAATTATGAGGAGAGGGACTCGTCTCTCCACGATAACGAAGCGCTGCGCTCGCACAGCGAGTGTCCCCCCCTCTCTCCCCCACTCGGCTCATGCCTTCGCTGCTGCTGTCCCTTTTTTCTCTCTTCTCTTTTCCATTCGCGATAAATTTGGGATGGAAACCCTTCCTTTTTTGTTTGGGTAATTAGATGAGATTGTTATCGTTGTAGTTTATGAATGGCGTTATATCGCGAGCAAAAGCGCCTGCCGTTCTCTGCTGCTGCTGTCTGTGGCCTCGACGTACATAGCGGCGGCGGCGGCAGCGCATCGAGCCGAAAACGTTGTGAAAATTACTCCGCGCAGCTAGTGCACGCGGCCTTAATTATGCGCGCATTCGCGTCCCCAGTACACATGATTATTACCAACGTTAAAGTGCATGGGAATTGATATGAATCGCGTGGCGCCCCTAGCTACGCATCTGTCCGAGATTAATCGATAAAGTTCAAGTTTTCGAGTCGAAACTTCCGACCAGTCCATGCGTGCCGCAATGCGGATCATATTTATATATTATCGCGCGTACGTTATAATATTCACATGGCTTACGTGGAGCATATAGGCAGGAAGTGAGGCTCGCCTGATCGCAGCTCGTTTTTTCGCAGGCCCGCCGCCGGTGCATCAGCTCATACGCAACGACAAGACTGATCATCCGAAGACGCCGTCTCAGCAGCAAGCCGCCCAGGTGACGGTCTCCAACGCGCCGACCTTCTCGCCGGTGCTCAGATCCGACCAGGACAATAACGGACCGGCACCGTGTCATCGGCCCATGGACTCGCCTCACTCGCAAACTGGTAAGGCCATCGTTCCACTGCTATATACGATCCTTGTATTTACCCATCGCCGCCGCCACCTCTCGCCATCCAATCCGTTTGATTGGGATTTTCAGATTTTGAGGTGTACGTGAGTGTATGTGTGTGTGTGTGTGGAGTGCGGAACCAGCTAGACAATCTAGCGAGGAATAATGTAAAAATTGGAGAGCTGCCCGATATATGCTAGGAAGGAAAAATATTTTTTGCCCCCCTGCTTTGCAAACAAATATGCCTTAGCCTAGCTAAGGCACGGGTAAGAACAAGCATAAGGAAGATGAATTTCAGATGAGGTTTTCGCGAGAAAATTGGATTAGTATTCGTTATTGATTGCGTTCGTGAGAGAGAGAGAGCGAGCTCGAAGCGCGAAAATAAGGCGAAATTTCAATCCTCGATATTAACGGATAAGAGCCCGGGGGGAGAAAAAGGACGGAGAAGGCGATCCTCTTTAAGCGATATTTCACACACATCGCGTAGATGCGTGCCAAGCCAACTTTGAAACGGAAGCAAAGATGCTATATTTCCTAGCTCGAGGCTTGCAAATCGATTCAACGTGATTTAATTCGCAAGACATTAAAAAGTCGAATTTGTTAATGCCTGCGTCATTAAACATTGCTAACTGTCGTGAACACGGCAAAATTGTCGGCTTTAACGACGATCGAGCACGACAAAGCGTGAAATTTGGGAGAGAGAAAAAATTTGCCACGTTACAAGGGCTCATCTTTAGCCGCGCGTACATCGTATATATATATGTATACACATACACGCGGCCACGTAATACATCAGTGCAGTCGGAGCGCACACATGGACAGAGGCAAATATCCAGGCTGCTCTTTAACAGCACTAGCCCCTTCTCATTTTGCAGTTTTTTTTTTTTTTTATTCATACACATACATTTGGGATCGTCGTGCGGGCAAGCATCCAATTTTTGTACTTCTTAGTTTGTAAAACGCATTTGTAAACTTTGTCGTAAAAATACATTTTCGCTTCCTGCATTCGAGTGTGTAGGGACATATATACCATTGTGGAAGCACTTCCATGCGGTATTTCTAACAACGGCTGTATACATACATCGTGTATATAAAAAAGTGAAGGGAGGGAGGGAGGGAGGCAAAAAAGGAAGAAAAAGGAAGAAAAGAAAGGAAAGAAACGATGCAGCGCACGCCGAGAAACGACGAATAAATAAGTTTTTCCCTATTTCTGCGAAGCGTATGTATTAGTATGCGCGCTCGTCGAGGCCAAGTGTGCCGAAGTACAAATCACGAGAGCTCGCGCGCGCGGGGACGGGGGGGTCGGAGAGGATGCCGAATTCTCCGAGAGAAATTATACCTAGAGGAGAGAGGCCCCCCCCGCCTGCTACGTAATTCGGGTCAACTCGATTAGAAGCTCGCTCGTAGTGCGCACACACAATGGCCGAATGCCTCGAATATTTCCTTCGGCTCTCGCGGAAATGTTCGATCGCGCGAGCGGAGCCTCTTATCTCTCCCTTTTTCGACTAATGAAAAGGATCTCTGTCTCTCTCTCTCTCTCTCTCTTTCGTCGTGCGCCTCGTGCTCGTCTAACAAACACTTTGGCGGCTGGACGAAACTTTGGGGGGGTGGCAAAAAGACTTTATAATCGAAAAGTTGATTCTCGCACGCGATCGCGCAAAATTGAGCTATTGCAACTTTCGTTGTTTCGCGTAACAGAGCCGATGGAAAAATTTTACGAATTATTCGAATTCCAGCTTAGTGGAATTATAGTAAAGTTTTGGCAAGTCGCGCGGGGAATGCGACTGGGATTGATTGAGTTTCCAGTGCATATAAGCGAGTCGTTTGATTCATGGTAAGCATACACACAACTACCTAGCTTTAGTTCGTATAGTGTTATTCATATATTTAAATATAATATAACAATGCCTAGATATAGTCTCGATTTATGCTTATTGCTTTCATCATTATTAGTATTATATATTCTAATCATTTAGACTCAATTAACTAATAATTCTTTGCAATAGGAGTAATCAAGCGTACATTATCATAAAATTTTAACATGTCTCGAGTGACTAACAAATGGGAAAAATGACGGCGTGTTAAAATGTTTGTTTCAGCTGTCGCCTGTGCGTAAGAGAGAAGCTTATTTAGCCCCAGCGAACAGGTACTTTTGTCACATGCGTTATGATGTTCTCTATCACTTATGCATATATCCCTGCAATGTATAAAATACATACAATATTTTATGAATCGATGTATATCTTTTTTCTGTCTCTCTCTCTCTCTCTCTCTATTTTTCTCTTTATATCTCTCTTCTCTGTGTAATGAGTGTGTAAGCCCGAAAACTCTTGTAATATTTCCATCATCACTCTCTGTTACACACGAAAAATTATTCATGCATATCTATAAACCTTACATGCGTGTAAGCTCCAACAACCGAATGAAAATTTTGAGAAGTGACATGGAACGGATTATATGAACACGATTGCTCCATGTCACATCTCTCATAATAAATAGTCGTCCGCATGAATCACCCGAGAAATTTTGCCTACATCGATGTGTACGGGGTTTTCCTCAATAACCAAGAGTCCGATTTGTCACACATTTTTGTTGCACTTTGAATTCGTCACCACAAAAGAGAAGCGTCTAATCGCGTACGTCTTAAGTGCGAATTCTACACAGAGTACAATCACGACGAATAAATCAGCCCTTTGAGAATCAATAGGCAAGCACATGTTTGTCTAGCCTCGGTATTAGGGCGCGCAATAGCAGCAGCAGCAGCAGCAGTGGTGCATCTGCATATCGCAGAGCTTGTTTGTCGTTGGCGCGCGCTATCTCTTACGCGTAGAATACCAGAGAACCGCAGAAATGCTCGCTGATAAGCGTCGCGCGCGCCCTTAGAACGCATTAGTCCTTTTCTTATTACACGCCCGTGGCTAGGCCAGACGTCGTCTGGCGGAGGCTTGGGGCCAGAAGAAAAGGATTAGACGTGAGCAGTGGAGTTCTTTCTCTCGAGCAGTCTGCCCAAGCTTTTATCGGAAAACCAGATTCAACAGGATTTCGGATTTCTTTTCTTTTCTTTTTTCCTTTTTTTTTCTTCTTTTTTTTTTATCGTGTACAATAACACGCGTGTGCTGCTGCTACTGCTGCTGCTGCTGCTGCTGCTACTGCTGCTGCAATAGAGATTGTATTGACATTTTTTGCCGAGTGCGCGGTTTATGCTTGCGGGTTTTCCTTTTTTTTTCTTTTTTTAATGTATTTTAAGGGCACATCGGAGGAGAGAGCATACGTTGCACTGTATCCAAATTTTCTATCCACGTTCTGTACGTTTTCTCGATGATTTTCCACGGGTAAGCATTTAGGCAAGATTCATATAAACACCGCCATTTTTTCTATACATACATCTTGTAGTTAGATATTCATGTATTTGTAATAAATGTTTTATATAAAATTATTCAGGGATGGAAACATCCCTTAAAAGAAAATACCAACTAAAAGTTATGATGAATTTGCAGGAGATCACGCACAGACTGATTGATTTATTTCAGCACGATATAAATGTCCCTTCTCTCTACTGACGATCTCTATATATCTATACTTTTTCATACATATGAATGTGTACTATAAGTAACTGTTGCTGAATGCCTACCATAAACATGCAAAAATACATGTACCCTAATGTACGTTATATTTGATTTGATGTCTATATATTTATATCAATGTTTGATGTAACTCTCCGCTGTGCAAGAAACAAAAAATTTAATATCCCATAATTGGTGTATTACACAAATAAAAAACAACAGAGTAAAAAAGAACAAGTAAAAAAGTTTGCATGCAAACACGATAAAATAGCGGGATTTGCGTCGGGAAGGGGATGGTGGAGGCTTAAAAAGCAAAGCAACAACTTCGATAGACACGCATTATATACATACACAGACACACGATACTAGAGCTTCGTGGGCACATGCGAACTTTTCGTATATTTATACTTTCATCACGTGTATTAATTTTGGTTTTTCGTCGGACGGAAAAAACGTGGCGCGCGGATAAAAAAATCGCACATACGCACGTTTTTTTCCTCTCTCTTTCTCTCTCTCTCTCTGCAACTCTCACGCTTCGAGTGGCCTGCACTGTACATCTATGTATATATGCCAACATGTATGATGCATGTATATGTATATTAGAGTGTCCCTTATATATCAAGTTGCATAGAACCTTGCTCCCGAGCTTTTTCGGTGCGCTTGGACTTGAAAATGAAAAAATTCGTAGCAATGACTCTTTTATACAAAAATTCAACCGTAAGCTAATTGAGAGTACCATTTTTATTATTAAAAAGTTGTTTGAAAAAATTCTCACACTTTCTTTGACTAATTTTAAGACTTTCGTTCCTTTTAATGTTTACCAAAAGTTGCTTCTTTTCTTATAAAGATTAGAAACGTGGTTATTTTACAGTTGAATTTTTGCAAACTAAATTTTTATTATTTTATATCATTTAAGGAGCAACTTCAGGCTACATTTTGGAATTAGTAAAAAAATGAGTGTGAATTTTTTTGAAAACTTGGACTTGCCCACGGTTTCATAACTATATAAAAGAGTCGCAACTAGGGGTTTTTTCATTTTTAGGTCTGAGAACGCAAAGTAATAAAGCTTGAGAGCGAGGTTCCATGCAACCTTGGAAGATAATGGGAAGCACCCTGAAGTATATCCATACTTGTTCCAGTTCTATATTCACATTAACAAAAAAAGCCAGGCCGTATCGTTTCCTCCTCGTTTTCGGTCATTTTTGTCGTTTATGGATTTTCGCGACCTATGTACAACAGTCTGGCATGCACACGTAAACACGCGTACACAGCAAGACACGGACGTAATCAGCTGTTACGCGGCTGCCATACATTATAGAGCTCTCGAGACACTACTCCGCGTCGTCGTATCGCAAGCCGAGATAACGCTCTAAGACTTTAATGCGCGCAAGGGCGTCGTCGTCGCGAGCGCAAATAACGAATACACGTCGACCGAGAGGCTGCACCAGTACATATGTTAATCTCATAACGAACCGTTGGGTCGTTGTCTTTTTACAGGCCTCCACTCTCCGCACGAGTCGGCGCTATCGTCGCAGCAGCAGCAGCAACAGCAGCAACAGCAGCAGCAACAGCAACAGCAGCAGCAGCAACAGAGCATGTCGAGTCTCGCCTACTACCAGCCGGAGCATCCGGGCAGCGCCGGCAGCGGCGTCGTCAAGTACCCGGAGAACGGCCACGACACCCTCTCGGACTTTGTGACGTTCGTCTGCCAGGAGGCCGAGAACAGCCAGCAGCTGCCGCAGTTTTCACAGTATTACCCGAGCTCGATGCTGCCGCCGCCGCCGCCCGCCCCGATGGCCCGGCCCGTGGCCATAATCCGCTCGACGGGCGAGCTCACGGCCAGCAGCGTCGTCGGCCACGGCTCCAGCAGCCACGGGAGCGCCAACTCGCCGGTGAGCGCCGCCTCGCCCTGCGGCAGCGAGCACTCGTCCGAGCTGCAGGTGAACGCGGCCGTGGCGGCGGCTGCCGCCGTCCAGGACCAGATGGCCGCTGCGGGCTTGGTCGGCGCGAGCTGCCAGTCCTCGCCGATCGACCCGAGCGGCAGGAAGAGCCCCGCCAGGATACTGGTCGCGGCGCCGCCCCACACCAGCCGAGAGTACACCTTCGCCCACTTCCACTCGCAGCCTGGACAGGTGAGTCCCGAATACTCGTCCGAAATCCCACCAGCCGAAAACTTTCCAATGAGCGCGAGCCCGAGCTTTAATTAAATTCCTGCAAAAGTTAAGTACGCGCGGGGCTCTTGAGAAAGTCCCGGAGCCGATATTAAGCAAGATGTTTTACTAGCGATTTTGGCTCGAGCTCCGCGCTGCGAAACTTTAAACAGGACTTGGCCAAAGTATAATGCGTACAGTCGCGGCTTTTAAACTAGCTTTAACGATAATTGATACGTCTGCCGGAGTCAGTGGCAGGCAGATTCAGTGCGTAACTCGTATACACGCGTTAATGCGGAACATCGTCCCGATAAATCCTTGACTGAGACAGTCCTTTGTTTGCCCTTTCTCTTCCGCAGCAAATATTCACCTATCCCGGCATCGGCTCCATGTCCGGGGTCATATCGCCGACGAACCTGTCGCTCTTCTCCTCGGCTCCGGTCTCGGTCTCGTCGAGGCCCAATCCGCACCATCAGCGCTCGCCCATGTCGAACATCGGGCCGCCGCCGCGCTGGAACGCAGCGGCGCCTTTCATCAACCTCGAGGATGATTACAATATGATAGCGCCGATTATCACCGGTGCGACGAGCGAGCAGCAGCAGCAGCAGCAGCAGCAGCAGACACCCACAGCAATGGAGGAAGGTATGAATTATTCATGCTGCAATGGAGAGAGATAACTTTGCAGAGCCCGAGCTCTAACGTCATTTTACACGAAATTGGATTTTTACCATATCGGATATGAAAATATACGCGTTCGACTCATAAATATCGCGGATAAAGCGCGCCGCTCGCTCGCTGGTGCCACCTCTTTTTTGCCTTCTTTGCCTCGTTCTTTCTCTTCGTTGAACGCCGCGGCAACTTTGAGTAATAGAGAAGTTATAGCGCGCCTCGCCGGATTTTTAAAGACCGAAAATGTATAATTTACAGACAGATACTTTCACCCCGTCCATACGAGCAACGTCGTGGTCGATAAAAACGGCAACACGGGCTTGATAGGCAGCGATCTCGGCGTCGGCGCGGATCCCAATTCACACCATCATCACCATCACCAGCAGCAGCAGCAACAGCAGCAGCAGCAGCAGCAGCAAATCATGCAGGAGAAATTGGGCAGACCAAAGTCCCCCCCGTGACACTGGAGGAACGTTAGCCACGTGATGACGCCGTCGCCAACGAAGGATATGTCGCGTCGCTGCTGCTTGGCTCGTTGAGCGCATCCAAACGATGCGCCTCTACATGTACATAATATGAACCAGATCAAATGAACAAAAAACACCATCGCGTAAATACGTTGTCTAGGTATATAAGTGTAAATTAATTATTAGTATCCTCCCCGAGTACCCCCGTCCCTTTCCGATCGACCTCTTCCCCGTAATCCCCCTCCTTACAATGTCTTCTCTGTAAACTCTTGGTGAAAAATTTTCGAGTATTCTTGAGAGGAGCGGTGTCGAGATTTTTTCCTTTACGCTTTTGTACTATGCAAAGTTACCGTAGAATATTTATTACGAAAAAGCAAACCGCGACAAAAAGGAATTTTTACGAGCAAATATATATTGTGCCAAAAAAATAAATAAGCGAATTTTTGTATTCGGTCTTTGATAAGATTTTGTATGAAGATTTCATCGGCTATGAACGAACGTTTGCGTCGTACAAAGATATACGGCAAGCGACGAATACTTTTACTCGAAAATTTTCACTCGAGCTGATCGGTACGTAGTTGTTAGGCTTGTACGCTTGAATCGCGCTAAAGCTCTGTATTTGTAAGTGAAAAACAAACGTTAGGGAAAATTTATATAAGCTTGTTTCGATGATTATTACGTATAATAATGGTAATTGCAAGAGTCTTGATAGTGCCACTCAGTCTTCCAAGTCTCTTTAAAAAAGCTCTCGTATGGCTTGATAATTTTACGACGTTAAGGTGTTAGTCATGTAACGATTGCATTCGTAGTTTGCCTCAATACTTATCTTTTAATTATCTCACGCGTAAACACACACTCATACACTGAGCGAACAGTTCACTATAAACCGCTGTGCGCGCCAACGGCGCCACATCGAAACACCATGCGCAAACTGATTTTCGCCATGCGTGCACTATCTTTGTTTCGGCCGAGTTCCCCTCTACAATTATCGTGCGGCTATCATGGTCATTCCTCGTGTACGCACTTGATTTTGCCGTGCAGAGACCGCGGATTTGGCGGGCATTACACCGTCGTCTCGTGGTATACGCAGCGTGCTTAACCTACGACGCAATTTTACTTGTGTTCTAGTATTATTGTGATTGTGATTGGACTTGTTTTATAGTATTGTTATGATAGTGATTGGATATTTATATTATTATGGATCCATCTATTAACTCATTACTAACAAGTTGGATGCTGGATGACTTGTCATATTATATGCTTCGTAAGTAAACTTTAACATTTTCAAAGTCATTTCATCTAATCATTGATTTTATCATGTTCGATCGTGTTTTACAGTTCATGAAATTACTTACGAGGAATTTATTAATTTAAGTAAAAGCAAAATAGACTTAATAGTACCTGATAGCCACAGTACATCTAGGAATAAACTTAATAATGTATTAGAACTGTATCGAAAAACTTTGAATTCTCAAAAACCGGTTCTCGCAGATGTATCAAATCTCAATCAAAATGCTTCTAGTAACGATTGCTATTACGAAACTTCTAAAGTCCCTACTGAAAGAGATAAATTTAAAGATTATCAAGATTTTTATACACAAAGTAATTTCTACTCAAAATTTCTATCTCTTTCACTTTTGAAATTTGCACATTATTTACTAATGATATTTTCTTATATACTCATTCATAGTACAAAAAAATAAAAGAATGTACAAATTATTACATCATGCTGATTGCTTATGGGGCAGTATTATTCTATATATGTATGCTTATCAGGGCAACATTTCATCATTGAGGGACGAGCTGAGTAAAATATTAGTGGATGCAGAGCTTGATAAAACAAAAGAGAGTACACTACCATTTCAGTAAGAATTTCAAAAATCCTTTTTATTCAAGTTATTTAGTTAAACGTTTATAACACCTGTGTTTATTTTAATTTCAACAGCATTCCCTCTAAGGTGTTCCAAAGTCTCAGTCAAGAAATAGTAGATTTTTTCCCATGTGAAGAAAAAAAAGTATATTATGATTGTAGCTATACTTTATCAAAAGAAAACAGATTAAGTAATAATACTAATACTAAAAATAAAAAAGGAAGAGTAAATGCNATGAGTAATTTTTTACAAGGAGAGTTATGGAAAGAGCAATTAAAGAATTTTAGTGAATCTAAAAGTGAATATGATTTGGCTCTTCCTTTATTCGGGTACCACGACGATGTAGAAATCGGCAACGCTCTAGGTCCGCACGCGGGCACTAATAAAATAGGAGTATTTTATGCAGTCCTACCTTTTCTACCACCAGGTCTTGCCTCTAAATTAATCAGTATTCTCATAGTTGATTTATTTTATGCAAATGATAGGAAAAAATATGGCAATGAAAAAATTTTCTGTACTACGATAGATGAATTGAATGATCTCAGGTTAAATCCAGTGACTATAATTGTAGGCAATATTAGCTACCGTGTTTATTTTATTACAAGTCTCATTATTGGAGACAACCTTGGCCTCAATGGCATTTTCGGCTTCACAGAATCTTTTGGAAATACTATTTGTTGTCGATGTTGCTTCGCAGATCCTTGTCGTATGCAAAAAATGATTCGAGAAGACAGACATTTGATTCGAAATCTATTAAATTATGAGGCACAATTGAAAGACAAACAGCTTAGCGTTTCAGGCATAAAAGACGAATGTATTTTCAATAGAATAATTCAGTTTCATGTGACTCAAAATCAATATTTAGACATCCTTCATGATGTTTTTGAGGGCGTAGTCAGTTATGTCATGGCATTTATTCTAACCGTTTTCATCACGGTTGACAAATTTTTTACTATAGATTATCTCAACTTCAAATTAAAAAATTGTCAGTTTGACTTCGAATCAAATAATCTCCCATCAGCGATAAGTTTAGATTATATAAATGCGAATGGAAAGCTAAAAATGTCTGGTGCTGAAGCGTTATTTTTTGTTCGTTATTTTAACATTATGGTTGGATCTAAAATACCTGAAGATAATGAAACTTGGAAGCTTTATTTAAAGCTAAGAGAAATCGTTTACATCATTACAGCCCCAGCGATAACAGAATCACATATACTGCAATTAGAGGATGCTATAGCTGAACATCATTCCTTGTACATTTTTTTAAATGGTAATCTAAAAAAGAAGTTTCATTTTATGGTTCACTATCCACGTCTTATACGTTCCGTCGGACCCTTGATGAATTGTTCAACAATGAGATGTGAATCAAAGCATCGGTTATTGAAAGATTTGTTGTCGGGTAATGCTTGTAAAATAAATACTTTGAAAAGTTTGGCTAATAGATATTTATTAGCCAATATGTCTATAAATTATATCAAATATCAAGACGTTGATATTTCCTTTGGAAAACAAAAAAAGGAAAATTTTTTTCAAAATGGGAGAAGTTGTACAAAATTCACTCTTACTTATGTAAAAGTAAATAATTTTAAATATAGCCCTGATTCTGTAATAATTACAAGCATTTCAGACGATTTTCCAGAATTTGGAAGAATAGAAACTATCTGCTTATTACCAAATGACGAAGTAGAATTTTTATACAAGCCATTAAAAGCTATTGGGACAGACAGTCATTATGATGCGCATATAGTATATGAATGCGAGGAATTGAAATGTATTTCATATAATAATTTACCGGTTAGAAGCCCTTGTATTACTTTTAAGCCTGACAATTATAAAAATTTACTTGTAGCAACAAGACATATATTTTAAAAATTATAATTTAAAATTGTTCAAATTTATAGAAAAAATAAAAAATAATGAAATAAGAATGTTTTTATTTATAATTAATCATTTCTAAATAACTATAGACTAAGCACATCTTGAGTTTGACTTTGCAACAACATTTGCGGCGTATTTCAACTCCCAGCATTTGGTCGAGCGCTTGCTATACAAGCGCATGCAGAATTGCTGTGCTCTGCACGGGAAAAAGCCGTGCGCCCTACGCACTATGATTCAATGGTTACGACGCGCGGGCGTTTACGAGTTGTGCATAATAAATTGTAGAGGGGGCACGGTGATTTTAAGTTTACACGGACCACTTGAATGAAGGTGGCGCTCTGCACGGCCAATAGTTGTGAACTGTTTTCTCAGTGTATTCACACTCATGTGCGTGCACTAATTTTTCGGATCAAATCATCGATGTAAAAAGTTTTTATCAGGATTCAGTACATTAATTAGTATGAAAATACGGATCTCGGATCAAGCCCTTAAAAGTCAATAATACTCAAAAGTAAACGTGTACTATAAAATTACTCAAAATGAAAAAAAAGCGAAGCCTACTAAAAAAAAGAACTTAGCGTTATGTAAATCGTGTACGAGAAGGACGTCAGTATTGCCTGGATATATAATTGTAACTGTATAGTGAATTTTGTTTTCGCCGAATGAGAAAATATATTTTGTAAAAAAGAAATTTATGCGATACGTGTAAGATTAGATGATAAAAAAATGGAAAATTCAAAAATTTCGTTCATTCGTGTAATGTTAACAAAACAGAGTTGTCGAATGGGGGAAAAAAATGGTCGAGTAACTTCAACTTAAATGAACCCCAAAATACTGTCCATTCCGAAAATACTTGGAGTGTAACGTAGGGGTGAATGTACTATGCTAGATCGTAATTATAATACTCGGACTTGGGATGATATACGACTAGTCACAAGTGGCTGCTGCAATATTAGTTGTTAGAAAAACAAAGTTTAAAGTTTAACTATTGTCGCGTATAAGAGAGCAAAGCTACCACCGGGCAAAGTATAACTCAATTATTATTTTTATTATTATTATTATCATTATTATTAAATATCATAATCCTGTCAAAGATAAAATTGTAAGTATTTGTATAAAAATGCAATTACGAAGGTCACTTTCGAAAAAAAACAGCAATTTTATTTACAACAAACTTGAAGGGAATAATAGTTCCACGATCGAGAAACGAATTAAGCGAAAAATTACGACAAAATTTTAAGTACAGAAACTTCTCATTGCTTCCACTGTTATTGTTAACGCTACAAACGGTCATACAGCAATAATGACAAATAGATACAAAAGATAATCATTTTATGCAATTATAATTATTATTATTGCAATATTATTGTGTAAGCGAAAAAAACTCCTGCCTAGAAGAGACATATGTACTTACATAATATTAATGATAAAATTTTTTTATTGTTCGGTACGTGAGAAACAAGGCTCAAGTGAATGATGATTCTTCTTTGCCACTGTTTACAATGCTTCATGGATTTTATAGAAGTCATGTCTAATCGTGCGCACATTATATGTTTGAAATTTACTTTTCCTCTCCCTCTTTTCCAATTCTACATAATTTTTTGATAATTTTAATTTGTCACAAGACACCATTAATTTATATAAACTGTGTATTTTCTGTGAAACAATTGTGTTTTATAAATAGTTGATAATCTTTGTTAAAAGGATCAATTGATTTGACTAAATATTACAATTATTTTTATTTACTCGGTAAATAGATGCTTACTTGAGAGTATATGTTTCTGATTACATTAGTACATTATTGATTTATTGTATCATGCAAAAATTATATCTTCGACTTTGTTAGATGTTTTTGTTTTGATTAGCAGTGAAACGCTTCAGTGACAAAAAAAAGATGATACACTGTTGATCGGACGATAAATTAATGACTTTTAATATAGATTGTTGAATTTATCTTATTATTTCGAATGTTGGATTTTTTATTTACATTGTCCACCTTCCACTTTTTACTTTTGTGCTCACGCTCTACACTTTATTTTATACACCGACAGAGCCGAAAAAAGTTTGTACCCAGTAGCCTTGGTGCTATTACATTATATTCTTGTCAGAGAGTTGTTCATGAAGGATGTTACTAGTACTTATGAAACGCTTCGATAACTCACTTTTACTAACTCTAACTATTCAATCAACAAAAATTGCTCTGGGTGAAAAAATTTACATGTGTAATTTATCGTTGAATTGATATAAACAATTATATTGTATTACATTACGACTACCACCATCACTACCATTGATGTATCGAGCTCATAATTTTATACGCACAGGTAAATGCTACTGCTTTTTAGCGTGTAAATATAATGCAGCATGTAAAGAATTTTTCAAAAAGTATGATGAGTTTTTATCAAAAGTATTTCTATATAAATATAGCATATACGTGTACGTAGGCCTTCATTCAGCGTCATAATGAAAAAAAGTGCTCAGCAACATAGAGGTTCGATTTAGAAAACGAAAATAGATTTATATATATGTATACATTTATATAACGAAAGGTCATGAAAAGATGTTCAGTAAAGCGATTACCGCGCGTTTTTATACGAAATTCATATATTTTAATTTGGAATATAAATTTTACGTTACTTTTTCTATTCAATATTCGAAATTTCGAATTTATTAAATAATGATGCCAAAGAAATGAAATACTTGGGTGGTCCGGGTGCGAAATAATCTGCCTGTAAAGAACGTAGATGTTTACAGAATATTTTCATATTTTTGCTTTATAAATACGATTCTTAACTATGTACTAATAACGTAGTCATTTATGATTGAAAAAATATCACTCACGAATACAATGAGGGTAGAATGCTTGAGAAATATAAACATGTGCCTTTATTTTTAAAATTTTCGACTGTGTTCTTATCGAAGAATTAAATCATTGATATCGTAAATTTTGATTAATTTGCAATTAAAATTAGTGAATTGTATAATATTAGCTGTAGGCATAATTACTTTTTGCAAATCAAAGATTAACGTGTAAAATTAAGTCAATTATTTTTAGGAGAAACAAAATCTAAAGTGATTGTATGAACAGTAATAAGGCTGAATAAGTGTTTTTTATTTATTCAATTTTTTATAGCAATAACTAAACTAAAATAAGTAGGTAAGAAGGGCTGATTTTTTTAATAATAATATTATACGATAATTACTCGAATAGACAAGTTCGGATCGTTGATGAACTAGACGATGGAAAAATTTTCTATAGCGTCTCGAGCTGCCTTGAACCGAAAGTGCATTATCAAAATCGTTCGCTCGAAAGATCGAGATTCAATTGCGATCGAATCGACGATACGAGGATTTTTCTACATTAATCGACGTAGCTTATAACGTTTTTTAGAAAACGAGTCCGGTCTATAATCCTGTAAATAATATACACGCACTCACGCTTTGAGATTCAAGCCTTGTTTCAATTCCTTTATGTTGAGATCGAATTTTCTTAAGGATTTATTTTTAAGAAAAAATGTGGGCACGAGAGAGAAAAAATTATAAATCGTTGGAATTGAAGCAGGGTTTTAATTTTTTTAGCTGCTATAATGTCATATTTAAACGTAGTTAAAATATAATATATTCCCGGACCACCTGTAAAAAATTAATGAGTCAATTTTTTTGAATTTACAACGTGTACATATAGGAATAAAGTTTTTTGGAGACCAATGTCCACCTGAATTATCTCACTAGTCATGAAGAAAATCGTGTTATGTAGTGAGACTTGATTAATTTTAAGAAATACAATTATATACGTAAAAAAATGAAGCAAGTAACTAGCCTCGTAAAACGATGTTAACTATAATGATGCTTTTAAAAAACGATAGCCTAAAATCGTGTATTAGGGACATACTATTTTAAAGTAATGTAAAACTACAGTGATATGGTAATTTTCTCTGGTACACGTTGAAAAATTAGTAGTAAAAGTTGTACAAAGCATAATATTAGATGCGTAGAAAACCATTTTGATTCCTTAGGCAGTTAAGGCATTATAAGGTAACGCATACAAGCTGGAATAAAGGACGGAAATGTATACTCAACTTTGGCTGGTAAAAAAAAAAGTTACGTATGATCTTACAGTACGTATTCAAAGGTGGTGGTAGTGGTAGGATAATCTCGAGCTTGTGGTGATATAAAAGCGAAACTGAAAAAAATAAACCAAATACTCATATATTTAAACGGACAGAAAAATTAACTCAATAATATATTAGTATATATATATATTTAAACGCTTCGCACGCCCAGAGGTGATGAGCAATATGATAAATATAAATTATTCAATTGAAACTTCTATTGAAAGAGAACCGAGATTTTGTGCTAACAGTAAAACGTTGTGCCCATAATGTCTCAATTAAACGATTCTGTATCATATATTCGACAATATTGATTATTAAAAATTCTTAATACATGAAAAATTATAATGATAAAATTGATTTATTCCTATTTTTGAGTCGTTCTTTTAATTAATTATACGTACAATATTTTTTTTGCTTTTTGATGATCGATAACTTTTGCATTCTGTATCGATTCAAATGATTTTTGAAAAACAATGTTAAGGAGAGGAGGGGAAAAGGTAGGCTACTTTTCAATCTTTATCATTTTCTACTTTAAGATTATATTGTTTAAAAATTTGAAGTCAAATTGGAGCAAAACTAACGGGGTTACGTAATTTTTGTTGCGCACGCCTTTGGCAGATTACATGAATGAACACCAAAATTGCCCCAATAAAAATTTTGAATAGGTTTACGTCAATGTCGAATGATCAGTCTTCAATTAAACGAAATTGATCGTTTTAAAGTGTACCTGAATCACAGTAAATTATCTTTCCATTTTTAATACAAAATAACACTAAAATAAGTATTATCCAATACGTGCGAGGAGATTGTTGGTGGACTCGATGCATCGTTTTGATATGCAATAAGGCCAATTTTGTAAACCATTATCTTTAAAATTAACTTTACATAGTTTTAAATTAGAAAAGAGTAAAAGAAGTGAAGTATTTAAAATGCCTTGTCTAACAGAAATAGTCAGTGAAAGTGATTCATTGTTGTAGGAAGTTAATATAGATTTGTTAATAAAAAGCGCCTGATGCAACGTCGATTTATACTACTTGCAGTCCTGATCTTTTGGCCCTCTAGATTGCAAAAGTATAATCAGGTACGTAGTGATGGAAGCTACAAGCTAAACAATACTTGAATCTCTTTTTGATTTGAGGAATATTTCGAATACTCACAGACACGACGAGAGTTTGGTCAATGACAAACAAGTCGAATACGCCAAAAGACATTGGCGGCGCGTGAAGCAAGTAACTGGAAAATTGCTTCAACTGTTTCAACATCGCGACGTTGGGCAGACTTTGCCGATCGACGAGGCTCAACAAGCCTCCCGTTTTTTGACTCTGCAAATGGTAAACGAAATCTGTACAGGCATACTCTCGCTGAACGCGAGTAGAGTAGAATAAATGTATACCTCCTTGACGGCAGCAGTGGTGAAACTAGTCAGTATAAACAACGAAACGATGCAAAAGATGGTGTAATTTAGGCAATAAAGCACCAGCAGGACATTGTTGCAGCTGAATTCGCGGCCCAGGGTGAGGACCGGTAGCAGTACGTAATACGAGTAAAGGATCAGGTTCAGAAAGAGGTTGACGAAGCCGACTAGCATGACGGGCGAGTAAAAGTCCGAGATGTCCCGCGCGAGCTGCTGCAGAAGTCGGTAATGCTGCATGAGCGAGGCAAAGTCTCGGTCGAGCTTGCACACGCTCGAGTTGACGGATCCGTAGCCGTGCTGCAGGAGTCTCGCGACCAAGCTGTACTGCATCAGCAGCAGGTTGAGTATGAGGCCGTTGATGACCGCCCCAACGAAATACACGATGAAGATGAAGGCTTTGGGCACCGTGACCAGCTGCAGAATCAGCGAGACGAGCTCGAAGATCAAGATCCGTCGCAGAGTCGCGCGCATCCCGCTCGAGTCGTCGTCGTTCGGGCGGCTCCGATGCGCGGCGACCAATCGATTGGCCAACTCGACGCTCCGACGCTGAAAGAGGCTGAAGTAGCCGACGACGAACAGGCCGTTGAACAGGTGAAACGCCGTCTGGATCAGGTCCGCCGTCATTTCCGACCTCGCTTGGTTCTCGTAGACGTTCGAGTAGGTCATCGCGAGGGAGTAATAATTGGGCAGCAAGAGGGCGCACATGAGCAGGACGTTGTAGCAGTGGCCGATTCTCGAAGGGCCGAAGGGCCTCTCGACGTTCTCGGCGTCGTAGGCCATCGAGGCGAGGCCGACAATTTTGAACAAGTACACGATGCCGCGGAATTTCGCATCGGGCCGGACTTTTACGAGAGTCATATTTCAAAGGGCACGTAATTTCAGCCGATGCGTCGATCGCGAACTTGCCAACTTCGTAAAAGTGTGTATCGATCGCACCTACGTACTCTACGTACTTACCAAGCCAAACGTTTATACATAACACACACAGACATGCATAGGCTATACAGCAGCACTTTATTTAATGACATTTCTCGGGCATTCGTCGAGCGGCGATATAATTAAATATTAAAGCTTGCACGATGAAATGCTTCTGAATAAACTTCCTTTTAAAAATTAAACACGCCGACAACTGTTGATTTAGCTACGTTGGCAGCTCATCGGTTGTTCTGACGGCTGCTCTCCTTGAATTGCAACAGAATGACTAGGTACGTCGTGATGGAGCCTGAAATCTGAAAATGACACGATGAAACGAAGAATGTTGCGTAATAAGAGAGCTGCGCATCGACTCTTTTTACCGATATCAGTAGGGACTCGTCGAGTCGGAAAAATGTATAGACGCTGAACTGTATGTTGGCGTGGTACAGGTAGCAAGAGAATTGCTTCAGCTAGGATCGAAAGATAGATCGCGTTGAGAACCAGGCGAATCCGGAGGAAAATTATAGAAATTACCTGATCCATGAACAGAGGACTGCTGACGTTGTTCAATGACTCGTTCACGATCTCTCCCGTCATTTTACCCTATCACGATTCGAACGTTCAAGTGTTGAGATTGTAACGAGTCTATGTTAAATAGGTAACGCTGTATACCCACCTCTGCCTCGGTGGTAGCGACGCACCGCGTTAAAACGACCATACCCATCACGTAGAAGATCAACGACGCGGTGCAGTGCACCATGAGGCTGATCTGGTGTTCGTTCAGACCCTGACTGCCGATGAAGACGATGGGCCTCACGACGTAGTACGAGTAGATGATGAGAGTCAAGAAGACGTTGATCGACATGACGAGCATCGGCGAGGCATAAAAGTCCGACAACTCCCGGGAGAGCTTCACCACGGAGGTGTAGAGTCGCTGGAGCTTTCGGAATTGGCTGCGTCGCTCGTCGCCGTTCTTGCGCAGCTCCGTCGTCAGAAACAGATTTTCCATCGTGAGACCGGCGAATTGGCGGTTCATCACCCGCAGCGAGTGCCTCAGAATGACCAGGGCGTAGCTGTACTGCATCGTCATCGTGCTGACGACGAAGTTGCTGAGAGTCACTCCGATGAAGTAGACGGAGAGCTGATCGTGCGACGGCGTCGTAAAGTCCCAGAGCAGGCCGGTGGCGATTTTCAGCAGCCAGATCCAGGCCAGAGTCGTGGCCAGCTTCGTCTCGTTCGCTTGAAAGCTGGCCGTCGTGTCCCTGACGCGCATCAGTCCCGTGGCCAGCTGCAGGCCTCGCTTCTGCCTCGCGCAGTAAAACACGAGCACGTAGACCGAGGCGAAGGTCAGGAAGAAGGTCTGCAGCGTGTCGGCGATGCGCTCGAACTCGGCTCGCTCCTGGAAGGTGCCGTTGTAGGATATCAGCAGGCTGAAGTAGCCGCTCGCGAGGATCAGGCCGACGAGGCAGACGTTGTAGACGGTGCCGCGCCTCGAGGCGCCGTACGACACTTTGCTGCCCTCGATGCTCACGGCCACTGTCAGCGCCCCGAAGATCTTCATGTAGTACAGGATCACGCGCAGGAAAATTTTGCAGCTCAGGCGCGTCTTCCTGCTCGGCGACATTTTGCCCGTTTGTCCGTTGGCGACTCGTTGACTCTCAAAGATCGAGCGCCCCTCGTAATTGCGCCGATCGATTGCGAGCGTATCAACGCATCCGCCGAGCCAGACACTAGCAATTAAACGGCCATTATCGGAGCAGCGATTAAGCGTCTAGATATGCTCTCGCCGAAACTTCTTTTTCGATCGATTTCATTTGTTCCTTTGGAATTGCAAAAATATCACGAGGTAGTTGGTGATGGCGCCGATCATCTGCAAATAGCGACAACGGCCATTGAGATTCTGCAGCTATTCCGTGCGACTATATAGTTCAGAAGCGACCTTACCGACATCAGTAGAGACTCGTCCAGCCGAAACAAGCCCCAGACGGAAAAGTCGATGTCGTCGCCGAGAAGTTGATTGGAAAAATGATGCAACTGTAAATGTAATTCGCTTAGCTTTTTTCAAAGTCGACAGTGGTCATACCTATAGGGGCAGCTGTACCTTCAGCACTATCTGATGATTGTTGATGTTCTCTTCGAAGTGTTCTAGCGACTTGTTCACGATCGCGCTCGTAGTCTTCTTCTGAAACACACGTTATCGCATGATGTAATACGCGCTAATTGCATATTGGCCGGTGGAGCTGGCTCAGAATCAAGTACCGTTTTCACGAGCAACGACGCCGATTTCGTGAGCAAGATCAGCACGACCACGTAATGGAGGATTCTCAGCGACAGGTGGAACAATTTGAAATCGGTCAGAGAAGCCTCGTCCATCACGAACGGCCTCACGATAAAGTGGGCGAAAAAGATCAGCGTCACGAATATGTAGGTGATGCAAAAGAGCATGGGCAGCGAGTAGAACTCGCCGAGCTGTTTGGCGAGCTCGCAGGCGTCCGAGCAGCGCTGGCGGCTCTTGGACAGCTTGGCGGACAGGTCGCGGCGGACCGGCGCCGCGGACCACGCGCTCGACTCCGACGCGGCCTCGAGATCGCGATTCACCCGCAGCAGAACTCGCCGTATCGCTCGCAGGGTCAGGCTGTACTGCAGCAGGGCGCAAGTGACGACCAAGTTGCACGAGTAAAGCAGACCGAAGTAAAGGACCACCTTGTAATCGGCGCCGGGCCTCGTGGTCAGCACGTTGGCCAGCAGCGTCGAGCAGGGGATCGACGTCAGGATCTTCGCGTCTCTCGCGAGCTCGTCGTCCGGAACGACGAGCTCGCCGAGCTTACCGGCCAGACTCGCGACTCGCGAGCGTCGCCGAGAGAACACGAGCAGAATGAAGCAGGCGGCGCTCACGGCCAGCGTCGTGTGGATCACGTCGAATACCCGGTTGAACACGAGGTGGTCGTCGTGGAAGTTTTTCGGCCGGTTAGACAGCAACAGACCGTAGATGCTAATCAGTGTCAGCGATACGAGCAAGTTGTAGGCTACTTGGGTTTTCGAGCCGCGGATGATGTTTCGACCCTTCTGCAGCTGCCACTTCATCGTGCAAACGCCCGAGATTTTTAATAGATAATAAACCAAGTAGAGGAACGCTTTATCGGGAATATTCATCCTTCGGCTTTCATGCGAACGCTTCGCGGGAACGACTAGCGGCTCATGCCTTTGCAAAATCGATACTTACTTTATTTGTTATCGGAATGAAAAATACTTGCTCCTTTTAACGTTATTACAATGCAGGATAAATTGTTAACAGCGCAAACTATTGGTCAAAGTCTCCATCGACAAGAACGACATCGACAATAATTAATAAAAACCTTCGTTTGTGGTGCAATTGTAACTTTGTTCTGGGTTGAAAAAAAATTGTCCTCTTCCACTTTGAATGCAACGACTAGCTACGTCGTTATCTCAAACTGACATCTATGTGGAACGATTATTTGAGATAATTAAATGCACCTTCGCTAAATTCGCCTTTTATGCTTTTGTCAATTTATCGATCGTTTCCCAGCGATACTTGCGGTTATTAATATAATGATTTATTCAACGTATAGAGGTCAAAAACTGTGAAAATATCGAGAGATGAGAAAATTGTTACAACTGATAATATCCAAATTTCTATTGTCAATTATCAAGTTCGTCGAGCACGACGCCAACAATTCTACTTTTATTTCCAATATCTTGTTTCGATCGTTAAGATAAAATTTATGATGCAGACATTATACGTTTCTAGAATAAAAAATTATATCAAACTTAACTTCACTTAACATTATCTTTATTGACTTTTTCTGAATTTTTACTATTGAAAATCCGTTTCCGATGAAAATTTCTCGTTGATTTTAGCGAAAACCAAGCGAAAAATGTACCACTAAGTCGACGAGTGCAGAGAACTTTTCCGAACAAGACAATACGATCGGCAAGAACTGTTACGAAATTTTATTAATTACTCATCGGATAAAAATTTTTTTCGAATGGAATACTTTCAGTGGAAATTTTGTCGTGACTAGTGATAATTAAAACGATTTAAGATATTATATCATTGATGTTATATTGATTCGATTCATTAATGAGTCATGTAATTGCTCGATTTTGAGGATATCGTTCGAAATACTTGCAAGTAATTTAAAAAATTTTCAAAAATGTTATTAACACACTGGCGAATAACAGAAAATTTTTTAATGAAGCCAGTATAACATAAAATTTCGTTTGAAGGAAAACTGGGAATACTGTAATCTAAATAAACCGATAGGGTAGAAATATCATGTAGGAATTTTACTTAGATCTCGAAGTTTATTTTAATGACATGTGATTCAATTAAATTCATTGAAGTTTTTTTTATTGATTGAAATGATTGACAACTTGTCATGAAAGTACATTTGTTTGAGTGAAATTGTATTAATAGTTTATGAGCATGATCCGATAATTCATCAATTTATATGTGAATTGAAAATAAGTTTTGATCACTTTTTCGTAAAATTAATTTTTTAATGTACAATTGAACAAAATCATAGCATTTTCCTTTAATGGTACATGAAAATCTCCATTTATATTAGTTGGAATTCGATGAATTAATATAATCTTTCTTTCTTTGTATCCTTTCTTCTACGTTTTACTCCTCATCCTTTGATTGACTTTGAATCGATCATCTGAATATGAAAAGAATTTAATAGTAAAAAAGAGGAAAAATAACAATCATAAAATGATCATTTTTGTAATGGATCAGATAGCAAATACAGTAATAATCACGGCATTCAGAGATCTTGGTGGTTGCTAATATCATCATTCGATTAAATTAACTAATAATCACTTAATTTTTTTAAATATACTTTACTTACAGATAAGTTTCTAATCTTCAACTGTGCTCGAGTAGTTTTGGTTCCGAAACAACCTGTAATGCCAAATTATACATATATTTAAAAAATGTTTCCTATTTTTTATTCTAAGTAAATATTAAAATAATAATCGTTCATCAGATAGCAAATACAAAATAATCATGGCATTCATATCTTGGTGGTTGCAATAATTCATCATAAACAATAATAAAGAACATTAAAACTCATTTGAATTGATAACTTACTTGCTACATTTTAATTTCTTCGTCCCATCATTTTAATTATTGCAAAAAATCTGAAAAAAATTTTTTTTGGTAAGATTATGAACTCTTTAAGATACGTTGTGTTTGTTACATTAAATCTTAATCATTAATCAGATTAGCAAATACAAGATTAATCATGGCACTCAGAGATCTTGGTGGTTGCAGTTTCATCATATTAATTAAATGTAGTAGAATTTATTGAAAAAAAAAAAAAAAAAAAAATTACCTGAGGGACTCAGCAGATGTTGCTTCTTTCGCAATAGAGATGAAAATCTGTAATGAATATGACTTTTAATTTCATTCATAGTAAAATAACAAAAAAAAAGATGATATTGATAATTCCATCAGATAGCAAATACAAAATAATCATGGCACTCATATCTTGGTGGTTGCAATAATTCATCATACACAATAATAAAGAACATTAAAACTCATTTGAATTAATAACTTACTTGCTACATTTTAATTTCTTCGTCCCATCATTTTAATTATTGCAAAAAATCTGAAAAAAATTTTTTTTGGTAAGATTATGAACTCTTTAAGATACGTTGTGTTTGTTACATTAACCCATTAACGCGCAAAAGTGCAATTTTGTGCATGAATTTTCCGTTGTAAAAAAATTATAGATAAAGTTAAAATATTTTCTTGAAAATCCATACCCAGGGGTTTTTGGGTATGCTCTTTCAGTATCCGGTGTTATTTTTGCGATAAATAAACATTATCATCGTTTATTTTGCCATTAAAAACAAAAAACGTGATTTTTTGACTCAAAATTTTTTTTCAAAGTCGATTTTCTACCTTGCCTTGCCTTCGAAGGGTTTCCATAACACCAGAAATCGTGCACTTTTTCTCTGAACCTTCAAAAAATGCGCTGCCGCGATTTTTATCTAGCCCCTATATTTCTAAAATGGAGAATTTATACCGAGCAGTGGTATAAAAATTCACTCATTTTTTACTCAGAACCTATTTTACATGAGCTAAATATAAACTCAAAAGTACAATTTGGAGTGTAAAAACTTATTTGAAATCGTTTAGAGATTACGTGTGAATTTTTTCAGAATTTTTCAGACCACTTTGAAAATTTCGCAAAATACGACCATTTCCCGGCCTGTCGAAAAAATCCAAAATGTTCCAAAAAAAATCGGAAAAATTCTGAAAAAATTATTAAAAAATTCTAAAAAAAATTCACATGTATTCTTTGAACAAATTTGAACACTTTTCATTGAATGACTTTCTTTTATAAAGTCAATAATTTACAAATAAAAAATAAGACCATTTTCATATCGCTGCTCAGTATAAATTCGCCATTTTAGAAATATAGGGGCAAGATAAAAATCGCGGCAGCGCATTTTTCGAAGGTTCAGAGAAAAAGTGCACGATTTCTGGTGTTATGGGAACCCTCCGAAGGCAAGGCAAGGTAGAAAATCGACTTTGAAAAAAAATTTTGAGTCAAAAAATCACGTTTTTTGTTTTTAATGGCAAAATAAACGATGATAATGTTTATTTATCGCAAAAATAACACCGGATACTGAAAGAGCATACCCAAAAACCCCTGGGTATGGATTTTCAAGAAAATATTTTAACTTTATCTATAATTTTGTTACAACGGAAAATTCATGCACAAAATTGCACTTTTGCGCGTTAATGGGTTAAATCTTAATCATTAATCAGATTAGCAAATACAAGATTAATCATAGCACTCAGAGATCTTGGTGGTTGCAGTTTCATCATATTAATGAAATGTAGTAGAATTTATTGAAAAAAAAAAAAAAAAAAAAAAAATTACCTGAGGGACACAGCAGATGTTGCTTCTTTCGGAATGGAGATGAAAATCTGTAATGAATGTGACTTTTAATTTCATTCATAGTAAAATAACAAAAAAAAGATGATATCAATAATTCCATCAGATAGCAAATACAAAATAATCATGGCACTCATATCTTGGTGGTTGCAGAAATTCATCAATTTATATCTTTTATCTGGCAAGTTACAGTAAATTAACCCACTCAATTAACTAATTTATATATAATGAAACACAACTGATTTTTAAATAAATAGAAGAATATAAAACTCACATTTTAGTCGAATTCAGCTTTTTTCAAATCAATGGTTTGGCATGTACCTGAAAAAAAATCTTACATGAATTTTATGCCCAGATACACAATTGGAGCTTGGTAACTTTTTATTTTCATCAGATAGCAAATACAGTAATAATCACGGCACTCAGAGATCTTGGTGGTTGCTAATTTCATCATAATAAATAAAACGCATAAATAATATAATAAATGTAAAAAGTTAAGATATTACACTTACAATTTCAGTATGGATATAGTGACATTCTGCAGATTGACCATTTGAGTATAATGAATAAGCGACAATAAACCTGTAAATAAATATCTTTTTACTTGTTTGATTAATAATACAAATTTTAAAAACATAATATTATTAATGAATCAGATAGCAAATACAGTAAAAATCACGGCCCTCATAGATCTTGGTGGTTGCTAATTTCATCATTAAAAATTAGCTAAGATATGATAACAAAATTATTTTTTTACGGTTAATTTTATAAAAATTTCATTACTAGAAGTTAAAATGACTATTTGTCTTATTGTTAGACTTTTACATCAACAATACATGGTCTCATTTTTCTTATAAATTTATACAATTTTTACACCGTCAATGTAGAAAAAAATAAAAAAATTAATGTTTGAACTCACAAAGAGATGAATTTTAAAATCAAATAATAGTTTTGAATGAATTACAATCTTAATATTTACCTTCACACATACAAAGATAAGAAGTATTTTTTTCATTGCACCATTGTTATCCAAACGAGAAACACCATCAATTGATATACCCTCTGCAGTTAAAATTAGTGATTGTATTTTTTAAAACCTGAAAATTAAATTTTAAAAATTTTAAAAACTTTTGAAATATTTGAAATTATATAGTATGCTGTTCAATTAAAACTGTCAGATTAGCAAATACAATATTAATCACGGCATTCAGCGATCTTGGTGGTTGCAATTATTCATCATTAAAAATGAGATAAAGTACAAAAACTCATTAAATTTTCAATTTTCATCAACTTACTTGTTACTTTTCAATTTCTTCGTCCCATGATTTGAATATAGTTGAAAATCTGAAACAAATATATAATCATAAGTAAATAAATATACTCGTTAAAAAGCAGAAGTTTTATACAATAAATTCAATATTTTACGTTATAAGTTATCAGATTAGCAAATACAAGATTAATCATGGCACTCAGAGATCTTGGTGGTTGCAGTTTCATCATAATCAGTAAATTGCAATTAAATTTAGTTTAAAATAGTTTAGTTGAAATTATAAAATTACCTTAGCAGGCGCTGTAGATGTAAATTTTTTTGAATTTGAGATGTAACCCTGTAATAAATGTAATTTTAATTTCATTGATGATAAAGTAATTAAAAAATTATATTATTAATTATCACGTCAGATAGCAAATACAAAATAATCATGGCACTCATATCTTGGTGGTTGCAGAAATTCATCATAAAACAGAGATTTTATTTTATTTTTATTAAAATAAAAACATGAATAATTTACCTTTTAAGCTGTATGTTGCCTCTTGAAATTTTTACGTCTCAAATAAAATTTGGTATGATTAAATCCAACAAAAATACCAGTTTTAACTGAATTACGTTTGTAGTTGATATTAAGATAAAAAATTATAATAGTTTTTTTGCCTTTTTAATATTGCAAATGAAAAAAATTCAACTCTGATCAAATTAACAAGTTGTACAACTATAAGTGATATTCCAATCAAAAAATCATTCAAATTAAAACATTTACGATTCTCATATATACTTAAAGAAAATTCAGTAAAAATTTAAATGAATACTATCAACATTTATATCAGTACTAAAATAAGTTAAAATACAATTCTAGTTTTTAAAAAAAATTCCTTAGCTGGTTATCTATTACATTCTAATTGTTAATTCAGTCATTTTGTTGTTGACATATCAGAATATCTGAAAAAAAAAATCATAAAAACATGAAGGAAAATATAAAAAACATCAAAATTTTAAAATTGTTTTGAAGGTAAAATCAGATTAGCATGGCAAAATCATGATAGGTATGATACAGTTACACTGATGACATGCATACCCATCAATCAACAAACACTTTATCATCATATGTAAAACTAGGTACACGAAGATGAATATTTAAAATTAAAATGATAGTAGAAGTGATTTCATAAATATACTTACAATGTCAAGCCACTGCATTGGATGTGGCGAACTGAACATCATCAGTGGATACGTTTAACAACAATCTTTGATGTATATCCAATTTGGAATGATCACATAATAAAAGTCTCCAAGAACCTAATCTCGAACAAATTGAAAGTGCTTCAGAAGTATTTGGTACGATTTCTCCTAAAAAGTAAGAAAATTTTTTTATTACAATGTTTCATTTTTTTCAACAAATTGATTAGATTTATGCATTATAAATAATCAGATAGCAAATACAATAATAATCATGGCACTCAGAGATCTTGGTGGTTGCTAATTTCATCAGTTTTTTTATTCAACAAAATGAATATTTTGTTATTTAAACATGACTTACCATTGAAAGTGCATAAAGTTCGAAATTGATCATAAACATTGTTAAAAACAACTTCTTCAACTCCTGTTCGATTGACTTCAGCACAAACAGCTTGAAGAAAAAGTTTCTCATAATCAGAGCAATGTTTAATAGCTTGTATTTTTGGACTGGCAATCATTTCTTCCAGTGCTCGCTTTACATCTGACATATTGACATTTTCACGGTTGTTTGATTCAGCAACTTCAGTAGCTCTTCTACAGATATCCAAAGCTCTACGAGCATCACCAGAAACAGCTGCGACTTTACTATTAATATAAATATCATGAAGAATTTTCTAGCTTAGTTTTAGATGAATGGCAATTTAGACAAAGGATTACCGAGCAACAAGTTGCACTGTGTCCCCACTGAAAGCATCATTGTGCCCTTTTAATCTAGAAATTACGATTTCTTCAAGTTGTTTAAAATTATATGGAGGAAAAGTTAATCTTGTTAATCCCAAGCGTGAAGTTACTTTGCCCATTAAAATTCGCTCAGGTAGATCCATTGTATTTGCTATAGTAACAACAACTAATTTAGCATTTGTTTTACTAGGCCAGTCAAGAAGATTATATACAACATCTTGTCGTTTAGTGCACAACAAATCCAACTATAGATTGAAAAATGCCATTACTCAAAAATATTGTTTCTTTGAAATGATTGAAAATTCAAAAAATTACCTCATCTACAAGAAGTAGAGTCATGCAACGTTTTGAATTCGATTTAGTAAACATATTATAAAGTAGTTTATGTGCTTCTTCCCAAGTAGCGGTATTGCCTGTCAATTGTTTCCATATATGAACATAGGCTTGCTGTGGTTTGGACAATTTCATACCATTGATTTCTACAAAATTAAAGTCATCTAATTTCCCTGTCGTCATGGATTTTTTTAAACATCTTATAACTTCATTTACTGTAGCAGTTTTTCCTGTACCAGGAACACCACTGATGTAAATACAGCTGCAAAATGACACAAAATTTGTAAACATAGGAATTCCAATTTGAAGATTTTCAATGATTTTTAATTCAAGCTTACCCTCCACTACCATCAGATAATCTTGCATGCAGGAAACTATATATATCATTAAATTCTGTTTCTCTACACGGTAGAGACTTTGGCAAAACACTGACATGCAATTTGGATCTTGCTTCTTGCAGTGGAGTAGAAGGTTTAATAATAGTAGATACTCTTCGTTGAACAGAAGGAGTTATGGCCAATGTAGATAATTTTTTAGCTAATGTTTTAGATGGAGTTTCTGGTTGCATTTTATTTTTTCTCGAGGGTGTTTTTGAAACATTTCTTCTGCGAGTTTTTTTCTTTTTGTCAAACTCTTCATCTGAACTTTCTTCAGAGCTTTCAGAGCTTTCAGAGCTTTCAGAGTATTCAGAATTTGTTCTAGAATTTTGATCATTATCCTTTATTTCTTTCAGAACTGGTGATTTATCTAGGCGTAATTTTTTCATAGGTAAATGCAAGGAATTAGTATCTTTGCTTTCATTTTTTTTTGGAGTTTGACAACCAAAAAGCCCATCTTTGCTAAGTTTAGATGTAACAGAGGCAGATCTAGTTACGCGCCTAGAGTCATTTTCATCATTGGTGGTATAGTCTAAATTTTCTACACATTTTTCATTTATAGGTCTTTTCTGAGTTCTCTTACGCTCATAACGTTTAGGTGTTTCGCTACACTGTTCTTTTTTTCTGTTTTTTTCTTCGGCCGGGCGATACATTTCTTCCATTTGTTGCATATTACGCTCTGATATAAAGTCTTCATTGTAATTTACTTTTGTTTTTTCTCTAGTATTTCTTTGTGTAGGAGTAGAATAGTTAGAAGAAGGAAATGAATGCATTTTCGATAAAATGTTTTCATCGCAATTTGAAGTGCTTCTTATTTTCTTAAGACCAGAATTTTCTTGATCTTCATTGAAGCCTGCGATAATTGTGTAAGATTGTTTATTTATGCGTCTGAGTGTAACTCTCAGAGATATATCATTACCTTCTTTTGTCTCTCCAGAATCATTTCTTTGGCTCAGTTTCCTTGAGGAGGTAGGAGTGCTTACCAAACTGGATTTAGATTTTTTCTCTAAAATACATAGAGTTTAAGTTATAATTTTATAAAATTAAAATCAAATGAGTAGGACAAAAATGTAGGGTTACAAGTTACAGAAGGAATTTGTAGTTTTCATTGAAAAATTGAAAAGAAATAAAGTAGAATAACTTACTTGATGGAGTTTTAGTTGGTTCTTCCATTTTATTTTAAATATTATGAATATTATTCTAACCAAAACTTTCCATCTACAAAGTATTTAATACACGCTTGATTTCATAATCCACGTGGTTCACTTATCTTTACAGTTTTCTAACTATAGAGGTAAATTCTTAATTGATCTGAATTCAAAAAAGCTAAGAATTGAAAGTTCAAAAGTTTAAATTCAGAAAAATTATTACTTTTTCTTTGAGGACTACAAGAATTGTACAATTACTTGTTACAATTTATTACGAAGGCGCGTAAAGCCGATAGAGGCTGGTAACGCGTGGCGCAATTGAGCTCACATCGTGGCGGCGACTGGCGGGAAACGGAAATCGACTGTGGAGCCGACGCGGCAGTGGTGGAGCAGAACTCAGATGCTTCAAGAAAAATAGAGACCTTCATCAAGTATTTCTGAATTCCAATTTGGCAAATGCGTGTGCGCATTGAACTGACCTACCAACTCTATAAGATAGTTGTCATGCTACAGTATGACGGTAACAGCGCTTGATGCACTTGAAAGTGGAAGAATAATGCCTAGCAGAAATTCTAAAGCCTGCTGACTGATCCATTGATGGCCTGCTCATTTTTAAAAAGATTCTTTTATGTACAAATGAAGAATCCAGGATATATCCTTTAATAATACACAACTTAATGTTAAATTCTCAGACCTAACGTCTGTCTTTGGTGATCACTGAGCAAATGATGAATTAATCCCAGCGTAGTACCGACTAGTCTGTCCTTTGGCATTTTAACTTATTGCAAATAATTTATTGAATGGTGTTGCATTGAATGACAGTTTCATTCAATTGATAGTAAATAACAAAATGAGCGACGAAGACGATGACTTTGTTACTTATGGTACTGCACTCGATCCTCTCGACGAAGGTTTGTTTAATGTTTTCACATTTATTGCTTATAATTATTCCATTGAATTAATAAATAAATGTATGAATATAAAATTATTTATGTTTAATCTCAAGTTTTTATGAAATACTTACTTTGATAAATTTTTTCAGATAACTTACCTCGAAAAAAACCTGTAACTATTGAAGATCAAATTGCGGTAGATGCTCAAGGAAGAAGAAGATTTCATGGAGCCTTTACAGGTGGCTTCTCGGCTGGATATTTTAATTCAGTTGGATCCAGGGATGGCTGGAGACCACAGCAATTCAAATCAACAAGATCAAGCAAAGCTGGTAATGTAACCCAACGTCCTGAAGATTTTATGGATGATGAAGATGTAGGAGAGTTTGGCATTGCACCAACTGCTATCAGGGCAACCCAAGAATATAGTGCCCAAACAAGCAGAGGTACAAAAAGGGAGAGATCTAAAGCTAGCAGTGATGGTCCTATTCCTGGTACTCCTGTTTTACATGAATTACTTAAACCTGCCAAGTAAAATAATGCTAAATTTTTGACATTATTTATATACTAATTAAATATATTACTAGTAACTTTTAATTTTTTAGAGAGAGAGTTGGTGTAACTTTGCTCAAGAAAATGGGATGGAGACCAGGCCAGGGTGTTGGACCCAGATTGACAAAGAAAGAAAAAAAACAAATAAAACATCATCAAGAAAAAGTAAAGGTATATGGATGTTTTCTACCCAGCCAGCAGACAAAATCCAGTGGGAGTGATGATGAATGTTCTGATGACGAATTTGTTGAAATTACATTCGCTCCAGACGATTATGAACCATATAGGTTGAAATTTTGAACATACCATCTACTCATTTTAATGCTAACTTATACTTTCATGCAATATTGAATTTACAGATGTAAGCCTAAAGATAATTACTTTGGAATTGGCTACAGTGGACTTGACCGTAGACCTGTTTTATCTCAACATTTTAATCTCTTTGATGAACCAGCTTTTAAAGTATCAGATAAAAATAAAAAATTTAGTATTAAAGGTCAAGCATTTGGAGTGGGAGCTTTTGAAGCTGAAGATGATGATATTTATGCTCGTGAAGATATGTCACTCTATGATTCTCAATTAGGACCAGAGAAAAAAGAAAAAAGTAGGTGGTCAAAAAATTCTAAGGATACAGAATGTTTAGAAGGTTTTGTTAAAAGTAAGGGACGTTTAGAAGGAAAAAAAATATTTGCTGCTCCTACATTGCCTCAAAATTTTGATCCTATTCATAAAATACGTAAGAGTAGGTTTGCACCATTACCTGCTGAATTAAATAAACATGTGAAAAGGTAAATATTCAAATTTGCTTTAAATTTCATTCATGCAACTAATAATACATTTTATTTTTACAGACACGAAATGAACGCTGAAAGTCGCTCTAAAATTCTCAACGATGATAGGCCAAGTATAATCAACTCTCAGTCCAGTAAAGAAGCAAAATCAACAAGTGTAGCGGTAAAAGTAATTGAACGAACGCTAAATCTCCATGGTAAAGAGCAAATAGCCGCGCGCAAGCAACTCGAAGAAAGTCAGCCGAAAAAATCATCCATGTCATGGTTAGATAAAATTTCTGCTACAACATTTGTTAAAGGTGAAGTGATGGGCTCTAAGCCAATGATCCAAGGTTGCTTGCAAGATCCAAAAACTTTTGCAGCTCTAACTAATGATAATCAAACAGCATCATCTGAAAAAAATCTAGTAAAGCCAACTTTTGCTGATTTAGATAAACAAAATCGTTTTAAACAGTATCTTAATTATACAGAAAGCGAGAGAAAATTAAAGTTTGGAAGTTGTCAGCCATTGTCCATGACTGAATGGGAACGTGATCAAGAAATTGCAGAATTCGAAAAAGCTGTAAAATTGTGTGAAAATATTGATAAAATTGTTGCAGCAGAAAAAGAAAAAGAACAAGTTAAAGAGCCTGAGAAAATTATAGATCTGAATAAACTTAGTGAAAAAGAGAGAATGTTACATGCTGCAAGAATCAAAATGTTTGGAAAATTGACCAGAACGGACAATGAGTGGAAACCAGTGAAGATTGTTTGTGTACGATTTAATATAGCTGAGCCATCAGTTGGAGTTGCTGTGGAAGGTGTACAAAAGAAAAAATTCTCTATTTTCGACAATGTTGTGTGGGATGAAATGTCAAAATTTGAAAACGGAAAGAGTTTAGAACGTGAATTGTACATTCAACCTTCAACTTCAAGATTTTTATCTGTAGATGAAGAACCACAAAAAATTATAAGCGATTTATCATTGCCAAAACAAAAAGGAATGACAGATGAAGAAAAAAGTTTTAAAGATTCATATGATAAGGTATTTGGAAAAGAAATAAAATTTGATAAAAAAGTAACTGAAGATGAAAACACGACTAATAATCAAGATAATCAGTCATGTTCACAAGAAAAAACTAATGTAGATGAAAAAATGGATTTATTTAAAGCAATATTTCTTGATAGTAGTGATGAAGATGAAGAAGAAACATCCAAATCTGAAAATTTAGGAAAAAATGATGAAAAATTGAAAAATGTACTTTTGGGTAAATCCACTGCTGAAATAAATGTTCAGCGCAATGATTCGCCTCCTCGAGGTATTTTTGCTGAAATAGATCTTGACAATCTTTTAAAAAAACCATTGATGCAGAATACAAAAAAAGCAGACCAATCAGTTGAAGATAGAGATCTAAATGAAAAAATAAGTTTAAATGAATCAAAAAGTACTGAACAAATTGAAGATTCTAGCAGTGAAGATGATCCAATGGATGTTTATGGGCCTGCATTACCCAAAGAACTTGTTCAGATTGATGCTACTAGTCGAAAACCAATTTTTACCAAGAAAAATGCTGATGATAAATTATGGATTGAAAAAAAGGATAAAAAATCTAAAAAAGATAAAAAAAAACATAAACATAAAGAACGGTCCCGAAGTAAAAGTAAAAAATCTAAAAAAGATAAAAAACATAAATCATGATGAATAATGTCATGAAAGATTGTATTATAAATTACTATTAGTTTATATTATTAAATTAAAATAATCATTTACCATTTATAAATTTAATAAGCAAAAAATTTTACAAGAGTATTATTTTTGTTACATAGTATGAAATAAAAAATGTGTAAATATTCAAGTACAAAAACACTCTTTGTGTATTACTTTCATTTATGTGGAGCTGGATACACAGACTCTTAATTAAAAATAAACTGTTTCAAAAGTAAATTTTAAATCAATTCAGAAATACAATCATTGTCCAGATTTAAACTGTTAAGTGACAAACGCAAATCTGAAATTTCCAATTTTTTGAATTCTTTAGTTTCAAATGTTAAAGATTTTTTTATTGTAGACATAGTTCATCTTGAATCAGAGCTTTTACTGATAGGTGTCCTAGAAAATTTCCTAGGTGCTGAGCGTTGGGTATTATTAACAAGTGTTTCAACTTTAACATGGTAGTTTTCTTTTTCATTGAGAAGTTTTGTATTTAATTTTTTAGGTGTTTCAAGGTTTTCATGAATTTTATAGATTTTATTATACTTCATATGTATGCAATCGTCATTCTTCATACGAATGTATTCATTTGGATCAATATTATTAGAAATATAGTAATTTCTAATATCTGGTTGAGCTGCTTTTGCTCTTACAAGAAGTGGGGTATTTTTTATATGAGTATTTGGTGCTACAAAACTATTGAACTTTTCAATATTACCGAGTAGTTTCTTCACGTTCGAGGTTCGTTTTGTATTGATTTCTGTACAAGAGTTGACGATTTCATAGATCCCGTTGGATCTACGCCTGATGGTCATTACAAGTCTCTTACGTACTTTGTTGTTCATTTTAATTCGGTTCTCACCACTTGTATTCGGATAGCGCAGAAGTGTCTCAATCTCAGCAAGATCTTTTTGTTTACGGTCTGCAATATATAATCACATACACTCAATCAGACTAAACGCTAATTGTAAATTATATCTTTTATCAACATACCTTCCACTATAGATCCATTTAAAATATAGTCTATATCACTGGTAGACAAACCTCTAGGCTTTTTCTCATTCATATTTAATTATAACAATGCATTTAATAAAAAATATTGTGTTTGTTAGAAAAAGTAATATTCAAGATGTACGGACAGACAGTTCAGTAACCGAGATCAAAGTTTATGAATTGATTCTGCTGAAAGCGTGAAACAAGCCAAGACGTGATGCATCTGGGGTGGTCGGTTTGGCCCGCCAGTACCATTACGCAGTATTGCCAATATGACGCGTCAAAAACTTTTCAATTTTTTACAAGATTACTCTGTAACAAACTGGTTCTTCAATTTATTTGTGCCAATGCAGCAATATACTAATATTACATGATTATTGTTGAATTTTCATGGAATAAATTTGTTCTAAGCATTCTTTGATATGCTGCTCCATCATAGAATCTTCGTTGTAGGACACAATTTTTGATTTTGATCGTCGATTTCGGTTGCGACGTCGACGTTTGGATTTCGACTTACTCTTTTTTGATTTTACAACTATTAGCTCAAAATATTAACGTTCGTTGGCGCAATTTAAATATACAGTAGGGCATTTTCAAATCGTCACAATGTGGTCACCTTATTTATTTGGCTGGGGTAAAGCAAAGATTCTCTTGAATACCTTGATTGGTATGCTTTCACACAAAGCATTGTTGTGGCCATTTAATTGTGACAATCCAAAAACGCTCCGTTCTTGAGAAATTAAATTAAAATTTACCTGATTTGAAAGATTTTTGTCGTGTCAATTTGTACCTATTACTCTCTGACTTTAGTCCAATTGATGGGTATGTTTCTTCAACTGAAATTTCTACTTATATGGATTTGAAATTTAAAATTGTATTTTATATTTATGAACTGTACTTTTTTTAAGATGATTTGATAGTTCGACTTCTTCAGTGCTAGCAGCAGTACCAGCTGACGCTTGATAATAAAAAAAACCAATAAATATTTTGAATTCTTCAGTAAAAAAATTATTCGTATATTTAAACCTATCTCGCCGTTTTTCTCAATTTCCCGGTTCATTTCTTGTAGACAGTCAGAAGCATCCATTTGGTCGGTTGTTACGTCTGAGGCTAAGCTACAATCGCAATTGCTTTCTGCCATTTTGGCAGAACTGCTTCGAGGGTTTTTTTCAAGAATCCATCAAAAACGGCCCGGGCGGAATTAACCTGAAAAACTTTGAAATGAGATATATCGTCATTTGCCAGTTGGAACATGAAGGTTCGATGCATTCGTTATAATGTCTGTGTTCAGCAGCTGAGAAATTAATCAACTCGTGCCAGAGAAATATGCAATAGAAACATTTATTATGACGAGTTCACAGTTTACAGTTGTAAATATACGATAAAATTACTTTTTTCCACACACATATAATACGTTAGACAAAAAGAAATGATTAAAAACAAGTGATTGTTTATTAGACGCGTGTACGTGGCTCAGCGAACCTTGCCTTTTTGGCCTCAACAACATTTTGATGGTCAGTTTTTGTTTTTTTTCTTTTTCTTATAATTTTATTCTGTTTTTATAGAACATAAAATGATTTTACGTGCAGGATTTTCTTATATATTTCATTACCCGTTCAGCTCATTCAAACGGTTACATCAGTAGTTTTTGTTGATTTTGCTCAATCGAACGCAGTTAAAATGTTACACCAAGTGTACACACATACATGTAAGTACAATATCTTCTAAGTATACATCGCCTTTTTATACAAAGTTGTGCATTCAGAAATTTACATTGGCAGTTTTTCGTAAATACATTTAAAAAATTCCTAAAATCGCCATTACGTGATAAAATGACTGTGCGATGGAAAAAGGAAGACATTCGAGATATATTTGTATACACAATTTTTTGTTTATCATTAATATAGGTACAATTCAGTTCTCTGTGATGATTGAAAATCATGATAAAACTCCAAATCGACGATGGCCAAAGCAGTACTTGCATTGTAACGAGGTGAAATTTATAAAAATCGTTAACAACCGTGTATTATACAAAACGAAGGTGGGTGGGCTATACAAACTGTCGCTCGCAATTCAGAAACGCACCGGTGAATTTTTAATTAAAAAATATCCATTTCATTCAGCAAATGCCGGACAGAAAAAGAGAAGAATATTGCTAATTAATCGCCCGAGGCTAAGATACCCTCGCCCGACGATCCGATAATTGACGAAGTAATTAGCGACTTACAGCAGCGCCGCTCATACTCATACGGACTTTACCTCGGCCGAACGTCGATAATGCGTATTAGGCGTACACGTCTATCTTCGCAGACGGCTTCAGTCGTTCGTAATAATAATTGCAGCGGCGCAGGAGAGAAAAAAAAGTAACAGAGCATTCGTAGCCGAATATATATACAGCACTTTGTCGTTGTGTGTTTTCGTCCTAGCGTCACTTATCGATTTTGCCAACCCTCTTGCCGCGCGCGCGTTTACCGCGACATTCCTATACATACGCTCGTGCACACACAAACCCTGCACCCTTGTACATACGAACAAAGGTATGCAGCAGCTCTCGCTTCTGCTTCCGTCGTGGTCGTTGAGAAAAAGAAAAAATCCCTCGGTTTTTTTTTATTTTCTAAAATAAAATTGGCCTAATTAATATGTACACTTTTTTACATCGAGTTATGAAATTTTCGAATGGGCTAGAATTTTTCTATTGTTTACCTTTCGCTTATTTACATTAATAAATCTAATTACGTTTGATTGTTATGACTCCTTTTTCATCGAATCTTTGTCTTTTTCCCTAGGTGAAATTCAAATCCAGCAATAATCGACAAATAATAAGATGAAAGTTCAAAGTAACAAGTATATTATATACACATATAGGACCCACGCACTTTGAGAATTTAATTTTCATCAACACTGATTACTCATACTTGATAGTTTATCGTTGGGATGTATTTATACAAAAATTTATAAAACGAAGGATGAACGAAGATCAGTGAGTCTGCAAATAACCGGAGTGGACAATGTCGATGGAAATCAAAGAGGTTTTCACCTTAAGTATGCGCGTAAGTATAATGATTTATGGTTCGAGATTACGTTGCATGGAATTAATATCTAGAGAACAACTTCCGGTAGTATCGGGTGAGTCGAGAACCTCCTCAGACGGCATAATTCCGGCGCTTCGCTGCTCGTCCCTCACAGTTTCCACCTACGTACAGAGACATTGTTGAAAAATGGTGTTTGGTAATTTTTCAATGTTGCTTTCGCAAACAAAATAACATAAAAAAGTTAATCCCGTAGGGAAATCATCTCAACAACTATGAAAATGCCAGTTTGCGCATGTACATAGATGAACTACTATATGTTAAAGTACATCGGGCAATGGGTTAAAAAAATATAGTGCATACATTAACATACATAAGCATGAAAACATTTTGTAATGAGTATACTGATATAAAAGATGCATACCTTTCTGAGAACCCTGATTAAATTCAATCCGGCGACCTTTTTCAAATCGAGCACGTCCCAGTCGCCGCTGCGCAGCAGCTCGGCAAACAGCTCCGGGTACTTGGAGACATCCTCCAAACCTCGAGGCGTTCTGCAACGGAAAGAAAATGTACTGCAGATATCTTTTCTTTCTTTCCTCTCTTCGTGTTGTCTCTCCTCCGCTTCGCTCTCGCGTTTAATTAAAGGAAGAAGTTTTGTTGTTGGATCGTGACGCAGCGAGCGAGCCCGGAACACGGCCCGTCCTAGTCATGCTCTCTCTCTTTCTCTCTCTACCTTTTGCTAGCTCATATTATTAAGGCTATAAAACTGGGCATTAACTATTATGCGCTTTTCGGGAGCGTACACTTTAATGCCAGCTGCGTAATTGTGCAACGAGTGATCGATGCCTTAAAAAGGACTAAATTTTAATATACCGAAATAAAAATATCTGCATTAACAGAGCCTTGAATTTTCTTTAATTTCCGCTCGCGTTTGTGCAAATTTGTATCAGGCTCGATTAGATTTAATGGGAAAAGTGTGTCAATACTCTATATAATTCATACAACTTGCTACGATGTAAAAAAGATCACGAGATTTATCGATGAAAACTCGAGTACATTAAATTGGTATTGTACTTTTCCGAAAATGTTGCTTTGGACAGGAAGGAAAAGTTTTTCGTTGGTAGTAATACTCGAAACGAGAAAAAATAAGCTAGCCACGTTTTAACTCTCATCTCGACTCTTTTTTTCCTTATGTACTTTCAACCGCTGTACCGTAGTCGTCCACTTTTTATCTTTTCTTCTCTCTTTTCTGGGTTAAAAACGTACATATATGTACCTACACATACCAGTTCAGTGGAACACGAGTTAATAGAGAATTAATTGCCTACGCTCGTTGTAATTTTGCATGTGCAGTCGTTTAGGTCAATTTTCGCGCGTGGCACGTTTTTCGCCCGCCCATGCATAAATGTTCTCATAATCCGTGTATTTTTATGAACACGGCAAGTAGATATTTGAGTGCATGCGCGTAAATTTTGAAAGTGCGCCGCTGTAACGAATTATTAAGAAAGCTGCAAGTTCGACGCAAAGGGGGCCGTCGCGAGTGCTCTTACTCACTGCAGCTCGTAAAGCGCGCGGTAATAACGTTGGCTCGTTGACGAATGTAAAAAAAATACATAATACGTCCCTTTACGTCGCCACGCGCCTTCTGACGGATTGAGCCATTAAAAATTACTTTGATATAACTTGGATTTTTCAAGTAATACGCCAAGCCGTTTGCTGCGCACTAATCTGAAAAATGCTGAAAATCGTAGAAATATTTACGCGTTCCGAGCGAGTCAACTTGCCGGGCGCGTGCACTTTGATTTTCGAAGGGCGAGGCTCTCGCGTTGTTTCAAAAGCACCGACTTAATATTCATGTCGGGTAAAATTGCAGGCCCGATTTTGAGAGCCGCTTAACATGCTGCGCGCATACAAATAAACAATAAATATAAAATTAGCCCTGCTGCTCCCTCGCGACGAGTTTCAATCCTTGAAATAGCACATTTGATCCAAAACGTATACTCATCAACGTACTTGTTAATTCCGTCGAAATCGCCACCCACACCGACGTGGTCCACTCCAATTAAATTCCTAATGTGATAAATGTGCGCTGCGACGTCGGCCACCGTCGCCTGCTCGCCGCACTTGACGAAGTAGTTGTAGAAAGTAATCATTACCAGTCCACCGTTTGAAGCCTGCAACACAATTTTTTTCTTTCTCTCTCTCTCTCTCTTTCTCTTTCTCTCTTTTTCAATATTACTTCCACCGTAATTAGTACGAGTTTCAAAGTTTATTGATGTCGTGTGCTTTTTTTTCTTTCGCCGCAAGAAATCACTCGACTTTATGGGGGGCTGCATTCGGTGCGCAAAAATTGAAAAATGTCTTAATATTTATCGCCGCAAGTTTCGCTGTTGTAGGCTGTGATAAAGAAGCACCAAATTAAAATGTTTTACGCGTTTGATTAATGTAACTTGACGAGCGAATTCTTTTTCATGCAAATTTCCCTACGCGCGTACATGTATAACATGTAATGCATGCGCGTGCACTCGAAAGAAAAAAAGCTAAAATTTATATTCACGTATTCGAATAACTTTTTAATTTAACAACCTTTTTGAATCCCTCAAAAGTTTCGTTCTCTCTTCGCGCCTCTACGGAGAATCCTCTCAAGGAAGAGGCCGGAAGAGCACTTAATATTCACGTATTATGATAATCGCCTCGTCGCTTTCTTAATTATTCTTCGAGTAAAATAATAGAAATGATAAAAACACAAAGCTAGGCCTTGGCACTCGTTACATTATGCAATTAAGCCCTCGCATTAGGCTTCATGAAAAAAGTTTTCTCTGCATAGCTGACGAGCAGATTAGTCAATCGTTGTAAACATCTTGAGCTGCGCTTGAGCTTTTACTCATAAAATTTTCTGACTATAGCACGTCAGAAGTTTTCATCAAATGGCAAATAAATAATCTCGAGTTGGAAAGATTTATTTTTTTCCATTATCCCCCCCGAACAACGGGTACTAATAAAGACGATACATGCACTCGTGCACGGAACTACAATTTTCGACACGTAATACCGCACATAACTCGAAATTCAAATGTTCTCGCTTCGTACGCTGCGAAACAATGTGTGTGTGTGTGCGAGTGTGCACGTACGTATACAGCTTTAAAGCCAGCAGCTGCACACGTGAAATAGCAATAGGTCGGTTAACCATTGAACTGCGAGTTGGAGCAATTTAGTTTCGGCTTTTGGCTTAGCGCGTTTTACTGCGCTCGAATAAAGGTGCGTACAGAGAACGCTCGAAATTTCAAATATGCTCCATGGCTCGAAAAATAAACACACACGCACACACACGGTCACGCCAACACTAGTTGAGCGAGAGATATTACATCGATCGCAAATAATATCCGCGTTACATTAAGAACGAAGAGAAAACTCGCTCGTCAATTTTGATTAGCTCGGCCGCTTGACGTATTGTAAAGAGATTTCAAAGCAAAACTCGGATTATATGCGGGATGCCACTGAATGCCGCAGAATCGGTGCATTGTGCACTGAAAAATGCCAATACATAACGTTCGATTTTATTAATGCAGTGGAATGATGATAAAATCTCGTTTCCCGTTCGATATAATTACATTTCCGACGCCCTCGGGGATAGACGCGACGACTTTTTTTCCTCAATATAGCCGTGCTAACTTTCACTAGATTACAAAGACATTAATTGGGTAAATTTGGCTCGAACAAGGAAGCTTTTAGTGAGTTTTCGCGAGAGGAAAGTCGGGCCGCGATCGCCGTCGAGATATTCAGGGCCGAGAGTACACGCTCGTGTAAACGGATTTGTAGAATAGCGGTCTTACCAGCTCCTTGAGTATGTCGTCGGGTACGTTCCTCGAAGAGTTGCAGATGGCGAAAGCCGACGAGTGCGAGAATATGAGGGGTGCTTTGCTGGTCCTCAAAGCGTCTCTCATGGTCCTGCGCGCCGTGTGGCTCAGGTCAATCAGCATGCCAAGACGGTTCATCTCGCGTATCACCGCCTTGCCGAACGGCGTGAGGCCGCCACCTGTTGACACGCACAGCCGATGAAAAGACGGAGGGTGAAAAAAGCTCATTGTGACGCGCGCGCAGCCAAAGCTTAATCGGTCGCCGGCGATTTTTCGGACGATTTGGTTTCTGCGAAAAAAACAAGCTCGAGCGCGTTATTTCCGAAAGATCGGGCGCGTAGATTTCTGGAATCTCGGTTGCGTCGCTGCTGCTGCTGCTGCTGCAATGCGCTGCGTCGATCAGTATATAGTTTTCCGTTTGAACGAAAAAACATTGCTATATATGCACGCGAGAAGTGCATAGTAGCGAGGAGATGCAAAAGATATCATTTCAATTTCTATCATTTAAACTCGGCTTGGCCTTTGCGCCCGCGTGGCTGCGCATAATGTAAAACGGAAAAATGTAAAAGTCTTTTCATACATAACTATATGGTACACGCGCTATATTCTCTCTGGCGTACAAGCCAAGACGGTATCTCAAATATATACGCGTATCTATATGCAGGCACGTGTAAAGAAAAGCAATTTCCATGCATCTACAATTTTTTCCCCGTGATTCGAGCCGTTTTATACTCAGTTTCTCTTTATCGCTTTGATTTTTTTTTCATCCCGGAACGACATGTATAAGCGAGCTTTGCTTCGAATTCCTAGTCGTTTTAATCTCTCTCTCTCTCTCTCTCTCTTGCTTTTCTCGAATAAGCGCAGCAGCTCAAGAGATAGAGAGAGAGAATCTGCCGCATATATAGAAATTCAACGACTATTCATAGCGAGGTAGCGAGGACGACGATGTACGTATGTATCGAACGCGTGACTCTGAGGCAAAAGAGCATGGCTAATCTGTTGTTTGCATGTGCGAGCTGGCGTGAAACTTGTTTGAAATTTCAACGAGAATGACCCCTCGCAGTCTCTGAATGGATTTTTACAAGGATCGGTGGGCATTGGCGCGTATAGATCGAGTATTATATGTATGAAATATATACCTTGCTCGTCGTTCTGCTCGACGTTGGAGCTCTTGGCCCAGGGCGTGTTGCAGGTGTGCGTGAGGGTGAGATACCTCACCCCCAGCTGGTAGAGAGTGCGCAGCACCGCCAAACTGCTTCCCAGACTGTGACCGCCCTCCACTCCAATCAGCGACGCTATTCTGCCCTTGTTGTGCGCCTCCAGTATCTCTGTGCGTGAGAGCCAGTGCCACGTTTGTGAGTTACCCTTCGTTAAATGCCATCCACATCCATATCTACGTCTACGTCTACGAGCTTCCTCCTCTATACAGACGCACACACACACGCACACACACACTTACGTATCCATGTATACATACAACAGTAAGCTTGAGCAAAAACTTTTATTACTATTTAGATAGATGCAAGAGCTTTTAGCTTGATTGATGGACGCTCGCCCGCTCGACTCCCAGTGAAATTCATATTTTTTTCTATATACTTCGAGGACCGAAAATGAGCGAGTGAAGGAGGGGGAATTTTTTTGATTTGATTGCTGCTATATATTTGGCAAGCTTTTCCCGATACCTGCTCGCGCCTAGCTTTCCCCTTTTCATTCGTCTGATTCGACGGCCTCGTTTATTTGATGTTTCAATCGGAACTCGATGTAAGACGAGAACTCATAATGTCATTCATACTCGCGACCTTCTTTATATTGGGGCGAGCGCGTATATGTATCGATAATTGAGTACTGAATGCATACATTTGCGAGAGAAACAGATCCGTAGCGAAAGATAAATTCATCGAAGCCGTATAGAAATAAGACTCGTAAACGTGCGCACAATATAGTCCGAAGGAAAACGCGTTGTATATTGCAGGTATACGTATACCGAAAGCTGGCAGAGATCTTATCTGCAGTCTCGCTATTAATGTATCCAGTCATCTATTAACACGATTGTTTTACACGTACGGGAGATGTTGTTTTGCGATACGTTGTATGCATTTCAATGGCAAGCGAGGCACGTATGCGTTATTTACATTTTAATCCCAGGCGCGCTTCGTAGTTCGCCGAGTCGAGTCTAAATCTAATTTCGATAAGTCAAAAATGCGTGCCAAAGTCCTATCCCCCGAAAATGCAGCTGTCTCTTTTCTCTCTCTCTCTAGCTCTCGAGAAAAATAACTTGCATTTACTATACCAGCAGCTGTTGGCTTCGTGTGCTCGGCTATACGAAAGTCTCTCTTGCTAAACGTTATCCAACGCCATCCTGCAGTCTGCAGTCACTGGCTTATACCCATACACGCTCTCACACACGGCCGTGCTTCGCGCGCTAAAGCTAAAAAACAAGGAAAGAGAGAGCTGCTGGTTCTCATGTAAATTTACGACTCGAACTTTATACAGCCGAACTCTAGCTATACTGCTGCTGCTGCTGCTGCTGCTACTAGCGCTGCCACAAATATATATATAAAGCTGTAAGTGCGGAGGCTCGGTGCGAAATGTACCAACTTTTGCGAGCCGTGGCCGGTGCTAGCGTGTGGCCGAGCAAACAGAAAAAACCGAGAGAAGAAAGTGGGCATTATATTTTTTCGTTTAGTCGCGCGCGCGACGTCCCCAACGATTATCAGCGAATGGTTAAAAAGCAGCAGCCGAGTTGAGAGCGCCCCGGATTTGTACTTGCTTTTTGTTATTCCTCCGCGCGGTGCGATTATTTGCAGCATCGCTGCATCTTTGTTTTCCTTTTTATTTTCATTTCACAGGTCCGCGAATTCGTGGCTTAACTCGATGGAAAATTCATAAAAGCGCATTCCCGTGATTTTTCCTCGTCAGCCAGATGAGAGCCAAAGTTTATCAAAATATAATACGTATTATTAAAATCTCTTATCAAACTCGGCTCAGTACGCGGGGCTTGGCACAGCGATGCACTTTTTTCGATCGAAAGCGAGAATACGCTTTTGGCGCCCCGCTCGCACCTGCATTATAAATATATTAAGCTAAAGCATACAAATATAGATTATATAGTGGATTCGTATACCGCAGCATATACGAGTAGGCAAGTGTACTCTGTCGCGAGTGCGTGCCGCAAGAACACGTAACTAACTACTGCCTGCACGCTTGCGCGCCCATATTTACGCTCCATATGTGTACGAGACAAACAATATACGTGTGTATGTGCGATCGACAAAGGAAATCGCCACTGCGTTTGTGTGCGCGTGTTTATACGCGTGCACGGATGCATCGACGAAGCTCGACAACTCTACCTACCTACCTACCTACCTACCTACCCGCTTTGGCTTATAAAGGAATTTTAAACATTTGACACGACCTCCCCGTCTACAACTTGTTTCTTGATCAAATTTGGACCTTGTGTTATTAAAAAGTATCATTCCTACACCTTTGCTTGTCCCGATCGATTTTTTTCTCTCGCTCTCGCTCAATTTGTTTAACTGAATACACCGCATTTTAAGAGAAAAAATCCAGTAATACTTTGACGTGAAATTCCATTTTCGTGTACCTCCTCGAAAGGGATAATCAAAAGAATCCCAGAACCTTAAGAGATTTTCCCACACGAACTGGATATACAAGTTGTAGAAGAGGTAAAAAAAAAGCGGGAATGCGACCAGCATTATGCTAGCAATCGCAAGCTTAATTATAATATCGACTTTGGCCGAACGTGCTTGAATCCAAGATTAGTAATTTCCTGATTCGGCGGAGATTCGCATTTATTTTTAATCAATTATCCATTAAGCAGACACGAATAATATAAATTCTATAACATTTAAAAGCCAACTGTTAAAAGTTGTTCATTATTCTACGTTTACATGGATGACGCAGAAATTACAATTTCCCTACGCATTTGCATCGTATAACGCGCGCGACGATTATACCTTTAGTTGATTGCTGCTTTTACTGCACTTTCACATATTGTCGTCATTTTAATCAGCAAACAAGGCGAAATTTTCGCAAAGTTTCATGGCATACCTCGAGAGGAAGCGGCAAATTGCATGTGCTGCGGGTACTTTTCGATGAGGCGCTTGATCAGATCCACTTGTTCCAGCGTCATCTGCACTGCATTCAGATGCTGAGACTCGCAGGGCACGTAAGCCGCCCAAAACTGCAAAGAGAGAATCAAACGAGGCGATATTAAGCTGAAAAATATATCTATATGTTGACTAAAACACGGGTAGCTAACGCGCGAAATTTTTATTGCTTGGACACTGCCATCGCTTAACGCGCGGGGGTTACGAACTTTATCCTTTCTCTCTCTCTCTCTCTGTTTCGCTCTCGATCGCCTTGCGCAAGTTTAATCGATGAAAGAGAATCGTAACTTTTAATGCACTCACTTTTTGCTTTTGATTTACTGTTATGCTGGATGCGCGCGCGCACACACACACCTACTGCCGCTTCGTGCGAATGTGTCACATAGGTTTTTATAGAAAAAACGGCATAAATCCTAGACCGAGTTGCCTAGTAATCGCGTCTCGGCTGGGCCTCCGTGTGTACGAGTCTGCGCGCGAGTGTTTTTCTATACGCGCACGGACAGAGAAAAGTTGTAAAAATATTTCACAACTACGGAATGGATAAAGTTCGTATCTCGCGCGCGCTATGGATTTTTTTTGTTGTCGCTTCTGCTTATTGTTCGGCCAGATATATGTTCGCTAGCATTGATTTATATTGAAAAATATGCGCGAACAATTTTTTCCTCTTTTTCCGTATATACGCACGCGTGACTATTAACGAGAGCTATAGCGCGTCGGGCGATAAAAACAAAGAGAGAAGCCCGATATAAGCATCGAGAGATGTATATGCGCGAGGAAAAAGGCGATTTGTCTCGGCAATTGATGATCGGTATTGATCTCGCTGCTTTCCTGCCTCGAATCATTTGTCTCGCTCTCGGGGGGGCCTGTCCCCGTGAACATAAAGTAAATACGTCTACTCTCTTGGCCTCTTTTTTAAGGGCAAATGCCGTGTGTCGCTTGGCCGAAGCAAACACAACGCGCGCGCACACATACTGCCAGAAGAGGTGGTGGCACACGTGCGATTACGTTGTAAATCCGAGTTATAACTTTATCCGTGTAATTTTATGCCGAGCACATGCAGAGTCTGGCGCTGCTCGAGCTTTACTTTTGCGCGTGCACACAAGCGTATATACCGCTGCTGCCTGCGCTGCAACAAAAGCGAAACTCCTTATCTTCGCATAAATTTAGCGAGACTACTCCAGGCCCGACGCTACAAGCGTATATTAAATTTGAAATCGCATAAATTCGGACGATTTTGACTCGATATATATGTACGCGCGGGTATAATGTAGATTTAGGCCCCCTCGGAGCATTGTAGCATCGAGTCGCGAAATATTTGACGAAACTATAGTCGAATAGGCACTTTTTAAGCTCGCACGCTCGAGCGGGTATTTTGACTCGTAGGGTACTTTACTTTTTTTCCTTGGCTATGATTAATCCCGAAATCGCTTGTGCCTGCGTTACGACACGTCCGCGAAAAACAAGGAGCTGCAGCCATCGTCGGTCGTCCGCGCTTTTCCATCGACTGGGGCTTTTTCAGCTGTGCGCGCTCCAGCCTTAATTCCCTGCAGCAAAGTGTCAAAGGTGGCAGGGTGAAAAATTACCGGCGCTAGCTCTTTCTCTCTCTCTCTCGCCGACGAAACTAATCTCCCAGTTTTCTCTGTGTCGAGAGCTGGCGCTCGAAAAATAAAAAATAAAAACGAAAGGAGGGAGAAAAAGCAAAAGTAGCGGGCTCGATTAGATATATCAAGTCTCATACGCGGGCTGGTTTATAGTTAAAAGGTGATGCGGCTAAAGCAACGAAAACCCACACACACACACACACAAAGACTGACACAAACACACCCTCGATAACCCTTGAAGGCATAAAATATTGCAGGAGATTTATCGCGAATGATGCATCTCGCGTGCAACTCGGTCTACTTTGAGAGAGAAAAGAGAAAAAGAGAAGCGAGTTTATTGCTTGTGTCGAGTCTTTGTGCCAACTCCATGAGGATTGTAATCTATTCTTTTGCTTTGGTACGTCGCTCTCTTTCTAGCTCACGAGCCGCAAGCCGCTTTTATTGTTATATATACATGCAACATTTTTGCAGGCTCTTGCCAGTGTCGTTGTCGGCCCGTTGTTCTATACTATACCGAGCATATAGAAACAGCCTTCGGGTGCGACGAAAAAATCGCAACGGGGCCAAAGAGCAAAGCTAAGGGTATATCTGTACTCACTTGTCCGCCCACCATGCCCTGCCTGAGCCTGGGCAAATCCGTTTGGCTCCAGGCGCTCCTGCTCCAGGGCGAGACCTGTCTCAGATCCGTATCGAAATCGAATTCCGCCAACTGATTGTGCACGAAGTTGCGTATGTTCCAGGGCAAATCGTTGTGGCCGTCGATGAGTGGCACCTCGCTCAGTACGCGCCGCACCAATTCCATGCGCTCGCGCGTAGTTTGTGGCCCCGCGCTACTGATACCGCTGCTGCTGCTGCTGCTATCGCTGCCGCTATTGCTACCACTGGCACTGCTCGTCAACTCGCCCAGCACGGGATGCGGACCTGCCACTCGGCCGACCCATATGCTCAGCCGCAGTAGGACCAATAGAATTACCCTGGCGCTCTCGTTGCCCTGCAAAGTTAATAACTTCTGTTAGCTCGATCGATGTGCGCGTCGGGTGCTCGTTTTTTTTTTACTTTTTTTTATGAAAATATCGCTTTCGCGACGCGCTAACGCAATTTCGTATAGAATTTCCCGAAGCGTCGTCGCGCTCTCGCCGAGAGACAAGAAGCCAAACTCCATCTGAAGAGGAGCCTCGATGAGCCTATTAAAGCATCGCGTCGCGCGAGCCGTACTAATACGACCGGAGCTACTGCGAAATTGCAGCCATCGGAAAATCGAATGTACAGCGGAGTAGAGAGAGAGAGAGAGAGCAGACGTCGTCGCGCCTAATGAACAGGCATCCCAGGTGGCTGCGCCATCCAGTCAATTACATAAACTTTCCTATTTGCTTAAATTCAAACTTATCGAATATCGAGTTTAAGCATGTAGCCTACAAACTCGTAGTTTTTAGCCCGCTTCCGTGTGTTCGTTTCACCGATGGGTCAATACTAGTAGTAGCTCGCGAGACGAACTTTTCACAATGCCGTCGATGGATCGCAAAAAGTCATTTCCCACTTTATTTCGCCCAAAATTGACAAAAATATCTACGCAGCCCGTTTGCCAAATAAATCCTTGAGCTAGCGAAACTTTTTCCTTCTTCGTCTATCCGCAGTCTATCTCTCGTGCCTCTCTCGCGTTTGAAGAAGAGACGCGAAAGTTGACTCGTCGAGAGGGAATTTCTATGGATTTTTCGCGAATCGCAGCGAAAGACACGCGTATACTCGAACTCGCTCGGCTTTTCTCCATCCGTATTGTTGGGGGGCCCCGCTGCACGACACGCAAATATACTTTCTCACACAGAGCTCGCTCGCGATATCCCGCGGCTTAATAATTTCAATTACAAGCTCGCGCGCCTTATTATTATATGCACGTAGCGCGCGGCTCGGCTCATACCCGGCTCGTACTCGGGCACAAAAATCCCAAAGCCTGCACTGCTACCGAGCGAGCGCCAACATTTTCAATTTTGCTCGTGAGACTTTTCCTTAAAATCTTGCCGCTGCCGCCTCTCGACGGAGAAAAAAACTCTGCGAACGCCCATGATAATCTGCTGTTGAACGTGAATTTACATACCCGCGCGCGCCTGACGTTCTGTTCCAATTTTTATATTATCCGCGTTATAATATATGTGCTCTCGAGTGAGAGACGTTATTCGGCGCTTTAATTAACTTCTTCGGACTTTATTTCTTGCGACTAGGTATTTCTTCTGAAAAATATCAAGCTTATGCTTCTCGACAAAAGGGCCAAGTGTGCTTGTTCGCAAGAAATAAAGCATCGCCTACCGAATTTCTGCTGAATCCAGCTGGCAATAAAACATCCGAGAGAAAAGGAATAGGAGCTCGTAAGCTCGGAAAAGGTTCCCTCAAGACACAACACGTACACCGATACAATATACATGCTAACGCACTCTCACACCTACGAGCTCGCACATACATCCTTTGAGAGTTTTGCACTCACAAAAGAGCGCGGTTTTACCCTGAAATATGCATGCCTGTCATAAATAACACCCCCTTGCACTCCGATTCGTGCACACTCGTGTGTGTACCTGTGCACCGAGGATTTTTCGCGTTTTTTTAAAAGCGCCTGCGAACCGGATTTTCTTTTTCAACGACGCTTTTCTCTCGCGTCGCGAGGCTCGCGTGACTTCCAAAAATCGCGCTTTTTATGCTCCAATGCGCGGCCACTGTTTAAAAAAATGCAGGAAATTACGCCCGTCGTTTGAATGCGCGCGCAATTTCTCTCGTTATTATTGCGATAAAAAATGAACTATCGGCCTGCACCTCCCCGCTCGAGTTTCGGCATAATCCCAAACTATACGAAAGCTCGAAGAAAATTTAGATTTAAAATTCAAGTAGCTTTGCCTCTACTTCATCCTTTTGTCGGATAATAATTTCATTGATTCGAAACTTCTTGCCCTCTTCTCTGTCTCTCTTTCTTTCTCGCTTTCGCGTCTGAATTCCAGATCGCTTTTTTCTCCCTCGCAACATTTTGTATTTTCATCGCTGCTATCGATTGCTCTCGATATTTTCAAAGAATAAAAAGATTGTTTTCGAAACGTCTTTCCACCTCGTTGTTCATAAGAATACTTTCACGCTACATTGACGCGAAAAGGGGGAATTGAGGAAACCGAGGAAAACTCCATATCGCGATGTTTCCGAGTGGTACTTTTGAGAAACAAAAATTAAAGCTTGCGAACATTTTCAACATTTTTCTATTTTTATTCCTACAAATATCTGCAGTTAGTTTTAAACATGTTTAACTTTACTGAAACGTGCTGATATTCGCATGGACTTTCTCACACATCCCCGGCTTTTTCATTTCTTTTACCAGCAAAAGTGAAGATACACTGCATGTTTCGAGGTTCGGAAATTACCTTTCGAATCGAACAAAAGTGGTTTTTCACGGGCGCATAAAATTTATGAACTAATTTGTTGGAAAAAAAAGGGAGCTGCTTGAGAGCCAATATAAATTCATTTTTCCTCGTAGCGATTGATTTATCGCTCGGCTTGCAGTTTTTCAGCAGTTACTTATAGTTCGACGCATGTATAGCGCAAATACACAGCCTCAATATTTATCACTGCACTATTATTCGCGAAATTTATGTAATTCCATGGCGCGTCGACATGACTATTAACGGAAACTTAATTTCAACCTGTCCATATATAAGGTGTCGGGTGATTTATGGATAGCATTCGAAACGCCTAATGCATCGTCGTGCACACGTACATAGGTACGCGGCGCACTCGAGAGCTCGAGCTCGTGTATACTCGCCTTTGTTTCCTTTTGCTACTCACTCACACGCGGCCATACCGTAGTCGCTCGCGCGCGCAACGTATATTTCCCTTCGATGTATCGATGTAACCAATATACGCGCATCCGGGTAACGATTTTTTATTTACGCGACGCAATCGTCGTTTCGTTAATTGCTCGAGAGATGGATTGAAAAAGTGAAAAATAGGTAAGTAGTAAAGCCGGCTTACTAATCAACGAGCTGACTCGCGAGAGTTTCGGGTCGACAAAAAAAGCTATAGCGTCGGCCGACGACGGCAAAGGCGCAGCGGTGTCTCTCACCTTCATGACGCTCACGACTGCAGGCAAAGACGGTTAAATCTTATTTGCAGATCGAGTAAAGGACTCCTCCGCCATATTCCTCTCTACGAGCTTGCAACAGCGGCAGCATCCTCGTGTTATTCTCCTCCGCGAGCTCATGTACTCCCCATCGATCCGCGTCTATCCCTCTTGAAAGCACAAACTTGCAAACTCGAGCTTGCGAGATGCGTAAACAGCAGGGGGGAAAAGCTCGTTCGCACTCGGTGAGCTTTTTTTCTCTTCTTCCACTGCCTCTCTTGGTCTTGTGTGTTTTTTCTTGTTTTCTACCGTCTGGGGAATGCACACGACTCGCGGCGCTGCTTTTACATACCGGCACGAACGAGGGGCGGCGTACGACTGCCGCCGCCGCCGCCGGGACGCTCCGTGGCGCGGATCCGTAAAAGAGGGAGTCCTGGAAGGGAGGCAACGCCGCGCGCGATGTGCGCCTGTGTACAGAGCCAAGCCAGCCTGACTGCCTGCCTGCTGCCGAGTGCCACCGCTGTCGCTGCCTGCTACTGCTACTGGATGTGGAGGCTGCGCGCTGCCAGCTTTACCCTCCCGGTCTCTATATAGGTACACGTATTTCTGCACGCACTACTCGCTCGAGAGCATCGGCGTATATAACTAAGGCTTCGGATGTGTTTGGCTTGCACGGGCTCCAAAGGATACGATAGGGCTTCGCTCTGCTCCACGAAGCTTTTTGAGCCAGCCTGTCACATCATTTCTTTTCTTAATTTACTTTTTTTTTCCTCCATTTTTCCACTACTTCCAATCATGTTTTTCGAGATGAGAATTTGTCGAACAAATCCTGTGCCTCTTATGCCTGTGCCTATGCATTCTTGCAAAATTTTTACGATGCTGACTTGATGAAATTTCAGGATCATAATTTTTTCCCCTCTTGCAATTGATATTTCATAATCCAATACGCGAACACTCCAAGCACTACACTACGCTGCCTCGTTTTCGCAGCGAGCCAACGCAATTTTAGTGCTTTCGAAAAACAGAGAGAGAGAGAGAGAGAGAGGAACTCGGCTATGCACTTGAAGGGGCGTTGTAAAAAGCTCGCTATAAACCACAAATTAGAAAAATATAAAACAATTGGCTTCCATTGCGTGTGCAATTCCAGTTTGACAAAACATTTTTTCGGATATTGAGCACAATTCAATCAACTATTGCTTAAAATTCTCGGCATATCTTTTCCAGAAAAACTTTATATGAATTCGTTTCAAACTATTGGAGTCGCTGTTGTTTATCTGAACAGCAACGTCTAACGAACTTTGCAAATAAAAGTGAGCGAATAATGAAGAGACGACGCTTTTTTGCGTCTGCCTTGTGAACAAAGTCCCCTTCGCTCTCTCGCCTCGCCTTTTTTTCGAAATTTCGACGCTACGCGACCTGTATATCTTTCAATGATTTCTATGCCACGAGCGAATGATAACTTTTGGCCTTTGTACGCAGCGACGACGACTTTTATTCGAGAAAACAAGTAAACAACCAAGCCAGGCTAATGAAATTTTCTTTCTGGATTTTTACTTGCTTAGGCAAGTTTGTTGGAATTCGTTATGCAGCGAGTACGACGCGACAGTTATCGAGTGCGCGATTGTTTCATATTTTCTGTTTCAATTAAAATACACAATTATTCGTTCCGACCAAAATAACATTCGTCATTTCATTGCTTTATAAAATCAAATTAAATCCTCGCTTATACTGCGAAATTGAAATTATGAGTCAATAGGTGTTGTGCCGCGCGAATGCTGAAATTCCATTTAGTTGCACCGGTCATTTATATAATCGGCCAATAGCCCCAGAATTGGCGATTCGTCGTATATATATATACATATGTAGTAGCTGATACGAGGAACCGTGACGGGATTTTCACGTGTTTGGAATTGCAAAGTGAAAAAATGAGCTCGAAAGCGTGTCAAAGACGAGCTGCGGGCGCGAGCTTGTTATCGGTGACCCTAATCACGGTCGTCATCCTCGCGATATTATCGCTGCTTTGAGATATTATCGCTGTTGAAAAGCTCGCTGGCCCATGCACGACGAGTGCCCGCGTCGACGGGGGCGCGAACCGACTCGAGCTTTACGCGTTGCGTGTGCACGCGCTAGCGAGCTCAAATCGCGACTGGCTCCCAACGCACTAAATCGATACGCAACCATAAAAATTATTTCCCCAAAGTCAAGAGTCTTGACTCGTCATTTTCGGGCTTCATAAAAATTTACGAATATCTCTTGGTTTTTCGTTTTCGTTCTTTTTTTTTTTGTATCGTGCACTTGCTGACATAACTGCAATACAGCTTGTATATCTCAAGCGAAAGGTTTTGCGCGTGACTAGCGAGTATATATATACGTGAACACATCTACAGTCGCAGCGTGTGTGAAAGTCGTTGCAATGGCTCGATGATAGAAACACTCGCATAGCTAGTGGAGCAGAGGGGAGGACTACAGCGTGTTTTTTCTCGCATACACAGGTACAGTGCAAACAGTATATGTGTAGCGTCGATTGATGGCGAGAGTTTAAGCGTGTTTTACAAGCTCGGAGATTTACCGTCCGTGCGATGGCGTGCGCAGAGATGATGATATAAGATTGGAATAGCCGCGCAACGATCAGGCTTATATACATAGCTTCGAATTCGCAGCGAGATCGTCGAGATTCGAGTCTATCAATTAGCCACTGTGCGCGCGTCGCGTTTGTTTACATATCGGCGCGTGCGTGCGAACGCCAGAGAAAGCTATTCCTATCCCGGTGATAATTGGCCCTTTTTTACCGACTCTTTTCGCGTCGGCCTCGACGCCAAAAGACTTATCGATTTATGTCTTCATTGTGGAGTAGGTGAACGCGAATTTATAGGACGTAATAATTCACATCGACGGCACAGCATCAGCTGTTTTGCGCCTGCTGCATTATTCGCGGCCTCTCGTATACGCATTAATTGCGCGCGATGATGAATTATGAAATCGCGCGAATGCGTTATAAAGCACGCGATCGCTACTGCCTGGATTTTCTCCGTGTTTTTCATTTCGTCAGGATGCGAGCAAACATTCGCGTGTATTCGGCATTTGCATTTGTATCCGAGCGAGCGCGAGATTCTCTGACCTAGAAAAGTCGAAAAAAGCTCGATTTTGCCTCGATAAAAATTTCCCGCTCCCCCACGCGCGCCAGAGTAAGCACGAGAGTAAAAAAAATATATATTTTAGCATCCCCTTTATCCGCACTTGGGTTTTAAAATCCCCAGCAATCTCAGGCTCTCGCACTTGTGAAATGAAAGGAAGGAGCGAGCGAGGGAGCTGCAGTAGATTCGAGCGACAGACAAGAGAAAAAAAAGAAACAATAATATATCTCACACTTTTGCGTGCTCGAGCAGACACACGTCAATATATACACGTACAATATCCGAGCCAGAGCCTCGAGTACGTTGCGGCACGGTGCACGCGCGCGCAAGCACAGGTAAACAAATTCGAGCGCGAGCGAAAATGTAGAGCGCAGACAATGGCCGCGAGTCGAATGCGATAGGCCGACAGTTGGTATGTTTTGTACTTGTAATATATATAAAACATTAAGCTTGCGCAGCTGACTCGGGCTCGAGACGGACAAAGCCAGTGAGCGCGGTGGACTCGGAGGGTAAGGGGGAAAACGTTCCATATATATGTATGTAGTTATATACGTGTATCCTGCAAAGAGTCAAACGGCTGCCTCGTGCGCGCTTATACTCTGCTGCACTCATAGAAGAAGGTCTATGTGTGTATACGAATCAAAATCGCGGGGGAGTGGCTGCTGCTGCATAAACGCGTATACATATACACGAGAGAGCGAATGTGTCGTATGCATATACGTGCATGCATTGCGCCCGAGTATATGTATGCCGACTTCCGTATGTGTGAATCATGTTTCGGTGAAAGGTAGGTAGTTGCTCTGGATATTTTTCTTTTACTCTCTCTCTCTCTTTTTTTATACGTTTGTTTCAGAAAACAGACGAGAGAAAACAAACGCGCCAACACAGAGACTCGAGCGGCCATGTAAGACACGCGAGCGAATATTTTAATTGACGGAATGCACGAAGAGAAAAAAAACAGCCGAGACTTTTTTCCATTTGACGAGCGAGCCGTCGCGGGCACCGAAGTAACCATTAGCTTGATTTCGATCGTGTGCGGCTCAGAAAAAGGATGATTCAAACGTGCCATTATATTTCAGCTCCCCCCTCTCTCTCTCTCTCTCTCTCTAGATTACGTGATTTTCGAGCGCGGGTGCAAACAAAGAGGCGCGTCTGACATAATATATTATTTATACGATTAGAAAGGAGCGCATCAAAGCGCCTCAAGGAGAAGAGTTGATTTTTTTCCACTGCAACTACGAAGCTTATGCAGAGCTGACGCGAAGCGGTGAGCCGAGATGGCCTGCGCAAAAGCACCAAGTAAGTCACTCGGCTAACTTGGTTACTTCTCTCGAGTGCTACGTAGCACGGGGCTTCTGCTGGCATGGCTTGCGATGCCGCTCAAAGAACTTTCGTCGTCTACGTGCTGGGACTTTTTTTTTTGCTTTCTTCTTCACTCTCGTCTCATTTGAGAATCGATAAAATGGAAAATGTTTGTTTATGAATACACGCGAGTCTTATATAGCGCGCTCAAATTAAACGACCTGCATGTACGTACGCATGAAATTTCGAATTTCTCTCTCGATCAAGCTAATTACGCTAATGATTATGATTGTTTGTTTTATTTGATCAGGCATGCCGAATATATATCGCAACTATACGTGCGCGCGTCCGGTTAATACAATTAAGCGCGATTTGCATTTGAAGCGCGGCGACGCGCGCCAAATGAAATTATTTGCCGAAAGAATCGAGTCGAGCTGCCAGTAAAAAAAAGTCAATTCCCGTTTCACCCCCGTGCAGTCGATATAGATAAGAAAAGCAATCGATGAAGTGCATTTTCCATGCGCGCACACACACACATAGACTGCATAGGAGCTCTCGCGCAAAACGAGAATAGCCCCGCGCGCTGCACAGCTGAAAGAGCCTGGCTGGCATTTCGCGATCGGAAAAAGTCAAACGATAGAAAGGAGAACGGAGACTATCGGATCGATTAGCAATGGATTTGAATGTATAACAGCCCAGAGCATCGAGCCATATACCGAGTCAATTTCATCGAGCGATAATTTCACCGAGTATACTACGACGACGTTTCCAATCGTCATGGAGACGCCAAAAGAAGACTCGAGGAAAAAGATGAAGAAATGGATAATCGCAATTGATACAGGAGAGATTAATTTGCGGTCGACTGTGTAAATATACTCGGATCGACTCGACGTCATCGAGGCTGTTTTCGAAACCTTCATGACGAGTCACGCATTGTACTATACACACAATGACTCTCAGCGAGTGCCACTCGACGTTATATTGATTTAGCATTTGTACGAATTTTCCAATTTTCCTCGCCCATTAAATCAGTCTAATTATACTATAATAATCATTGGCCCGCAAACAAACATCTAAACTGATTAAAATGACTTTTTAATGCGCTAATTAATAGGCTGACGGAATAATTGCAATTTTCAAAAAGTTTGAATGTTTTTGAGCTCACACTTGTTTTTACGATCCGGCAAAAAAAGGCCCGACACTGACTAGACATCGCGTACACATAGCATTCATAAACGACCGCAAATGCCGTAATAATCCATCAAGGAAAAAAGAACCCATTAGTTGAGTCTTTTATGATCATTACAAAGCTCGGTGCGCCGTGCGCGCTCCTAATAAAGAATCGCGTGGCTCCAAAGAAGCAATCTCTTTCTCTCTCACCTTTAAGAAAGAAGAGAAAGAGTAGTAACCCAGAACGCGAATATAGTGGGGACTCGGCTCGGCGCGTATACCTGGAAAGAGAGAGAGAGAGAGAAAGATCGGGGCATGAGGCCCCGCGTGCAAAACTATATAGACAGTCAGGCTAAGAGTCCCGTCGCGTCCACAAGTGTGCGGAGCTGCGCCACAGCTGCGGTTTACTCGCTTATACATGTACGCCGGACGATAAGAGATCAAGCATAAAAAAAAGAGCCGGTTGTTGACCTAAAAGTGACCGTACGTACGTGTGTGCTTTTTGTTGTTTGCTTCGCAAGACGAGTGCGAGTCTCTGTGTATAACACGTGCAGTTTCAGCTGCACATTGTGTATGTGTGCGTGCGCGTGTTATTCCATATATGAAGTGTGCGCACAAAAGTCCAGCGAAATTTTTCTAGGAGCCCATCTCGACTAGCCAAGGTACGTTGCGAACTGCACACTCGTGCTCTGCACCCACACACCCACACACACACACACGTGCAGTGCAGCCTCGCAAAGGTTACTGGGTCACTGCGTTGTGTGTATGTCGCGCGCGCGCTCTCTCCCCTATGTAGCCGTCGATGTAAAGTCAGTTAAAAAATCAGCAACAAAAATCCACAACGATAGCGAGGCGAAATTTTCTTCGAGCTTCGCTGAAAAGAAGAAGGAGTAGCAGAGGAAGGAAAAAAGTTCCTGAGCAAGCGAGAACACGTCTAGTCCCTTCTTCCATGAATGTATATCCGTGAATGTATGCGAGAGAGCGGTCCAAAGTACCAACTTTTCTCATAAAACGCGGATGAATTAGCGTAGCTTCGCCAACTCGGACGATAAATTTTGGCCTCGCCGAGGAAATCGCCCGTGTCTTTTGCAAATTTCGCAATCTTTCCCGAGCGATAAACGCGCGCGTAATACTCGCGGGGGAGCGCCCTCCGACCAATCAAACATGCATTAGGCGCTAAGGAGTTTCGACGCCAAAGAACCCGAGAGAAAAGCGAGAAAAAAAAACAATGCGTTATTACGAGCAAAAGCAGAGAGTATACGCCTGCGTATAGGCTTGGCACAAATGAGTTTCGAATCGTCTAGTTTTCGCGCGTAGACAATGCCGAGGAACGACTTAAGAGCGACTTTCTTCCGCGCGGCAGCTTTGCATCGGGGAGAAACTTCGACAAACAAATGAAGCGCTACGGCCCGGGCACGTGTATCCTGTTGTTTGATAATATACTTTGCTGAGCGCGTATAAGTATAGCAAACTGCCTGTGCACTGCGATTTTCGAGTTGAAACAGTTTCTACCTCTAGCGAAACTTTTCGATTGTTTTTTTTTTCTCCGTCTGCCTTCTCCTTTAACGACGATTTATATACTGCGATGAAATTACTTTAGCCCAAGGACGCAAACTTCAATACACTTTAAATTTGCCTGAGAAATCATCTTCGAAAGTTCAACATACGTTGATAATTGGCAGGCGCGTCTCGATTTCACTAAGCTCTTTTAAGGAAAAATCTCTCATTGCGCTCTTGAGCGCACGCGCGCGCGAGGCGCCTGATTTTCCACTTGCTACAGCTTTCACTGCGCGCAGAAAGTCAAACTGGAACTATTCGCGGAAATAGAAAAGTAATTTTGATTCGACGCTGTTGGTGCGTTAAATGCACGTTTTGAGCGCAAAATTGAATCGTTGACTCGGCAAAAAAGAAACTAAACAAATCCTATACCGACTATAGAGTCCGTAATGCTCGGTTTTCCTTTTCTTATTATCTCGATTCACGGTCAATAAAGAAGAGAAGATTACGAGATAAATCGTAATTTATGCGCGACGATGATCCTCGCGCGCTCCAGAGAAAGTATGAAAAAAAAATTACACACTGCGCGCAATGATCGCAGTATGTATCGCCTTTAATAGTCGTGTAATACGCGCGCATTAGCCGTAAGCATGCGCTTTATCATGCGAATATTTTTAATGATAAAGAGGATTCACTAGCTTTTAATTGGTCAGGTACGAAAATCAAAATTCCATCGCATTCAAAGTTCAGCAACCCCGAGCTTGACCTTTCCGAACCCGAGCGAACGAATTAACAAGAGAAAAACGTATTTTTCTTAATTTTTTCTTCTTTTTTTTGCCCAGGTATCTCGAAAAGCTAGCAGCAGAAGTGCTACCAAACTATCATCGTCAAAACTAAAAGAGGCAAAAGAAAAAACGAGTATACGCATTGTGAGAGACAGTGGAAGAAGAGAGAAGAAAAAAAAGTGGCGGGTCTTGTGCGACGATTTTTATTGCCGCTTAGCGCGTAAACTACTTTTTTTCGTTCAACTCGCAGGACGATGCTTTAATCGGCCAATGACTCTTGGCCTCAGCGGCGAGGAAAAAATGTACACAGGTACACATGTGCACGAGTTGTTATTGTCAGTGTCGTCGCTGAGTTTGTGCTTCGATTGAAAAAGAGCCGGGAGAGAATCTACATCTCGGCGCGCTTTTTCATCTTTCTCGAGCGAGAGGAACGAGAAGAAGCGAAGGAAGAATAAAAAGTGCGCGTGACGATTAAAAAAGTATTGTCGTGAAATCATGGTCGCGATGGAGCACAAGAGGAAGACGTCGTGGGATTCCAAGGTTAGTGAGCCGGATTTCAAGGTACTAGATAAATTTTTTTTCCCGTAATCCTCCGTTAGTTAAGCTCGCGCTGTTTTTCGCGTATTACATACCGTCGAGATAATGTAGCTTTTCATCCAACAAGTATATACGTATGGAAGAAAATGGCCCGCGAAGCCCGCGCGTATCGATAAATTCTCAAACAATGGCATCAATTCCGAAACAATGAGAGAAAAAACAAATAAGCTAGAGCCAAAAATGGAGGATACATTTTTCCGCGGCCACCCACGTACACGGCCGCCTTATCAGCGAGCGAAACACGCGAGATTTCCAACCGAGTCCTTTTGTACGTACGTAGTTCGCGCATGTGTGTGTGTGTACGTATGGACTGGTATACTAGGTAGTAGGTAGGAGTTAAGCGCGCCCAGGGCGTATTATCTAGCCGTACTCGAATCTGGATCAGTGAAACTGAATAACGTATTTCTCGACTGCATGTAAGGTTGTAGGTACGCTGTATAATCTAGATGCTGCCAAGTGAACGATGATGCCATTGTCTGGCGTAGATTCTGTCACTTACACAAGGAAAATGTCCCCGGCTCTCTGCGACGTTCTTTGACGTTATCTCACCTTTACGTATTGTTTGCCGCGCTGTGTTGTTATACGTTTTACGTGTAATCATTGTGTCTCGCCGAGTACATAACATACACTCTCCAACTGGAGAAAAATCATCGATTTTGTCTCTATATATGTTAACGCTTATAAAGTCTTTTTTGGCGCTGACACCTGTTCTCGTCGTTGTTGTAGAGAGTGCAACGATCGAGCGCTCCAAAGAGAAAGAGAGAGAGGCAGAGAGCAAGCGGGACTGTATATAGCGAGGGTCGCGCGGCGTTGCACCTGTACTTTATATATGTAGACTCGGCAAAATCAGCCGATGGAGCATCGTTGGCTCCGTTGCACCGCCATACATAGTCGCTCCGTTCGGATACTTTCACCCGCGCGTCTCGCCGCGGCCTCGATAAACTCTGCGTTATTTCTACTTTATTTGGGTAATTTTTATCTTTTTACCCAGCGAATGCACGTGTGGACGCACACGTTCGCCCTTTCGTACTCTGCTGCAGTAACAACAAAAACAACAACAACAACAACAACAACCACCCCTATAGGTATTTTCTCGCTTGGAAAAATATACGAGCTGTAAAATGTAATTATAATTTGCGAGTACAAAAGTTTTACGGGGAAAAAAGGCGAGGCAGAGAGCAAGCAAAGGGAGGGTAAAAAGTTTCGTATCCCTCGCAACACAAGTTCTCTGCTCTTTCGCGATCATCTTGTGTAATGGAATACTACAAACAAAAGAAAAGTTGGCAAACTAGCGTTGTTAGAATAAACACGGAAAATATGAATTCCGAATTAGTGAATCCACGAGTCTACTCGAGCGTACTACTACTCGTATGTTTACACTCGGCATCCTCGAGCGTATATACTAATTAATCAACAATATAGACTCTCGGTCGATTTCTTCATCTCGCGGCACGAAGGATTCGTCGTCTGCGCAAAAGCCAGACTCCCACGCGATAATGTGTAACGATATACATAGGCGCGTGAGAGGTGCTTCTGTGATCCCGCTGCGAACTGCATCATCTCTAGGCGCGATCGCTTATCTCTCGGCCGAAAAATTCTTCCAAGCTACTTGGGCCTCTGTTGGTTGTTCTTTGCCGCGTTGCTCGTACACATATACGCGTGCAAACTAACACTATTGTTGCAGCATGATCAAGCTCAACCTATATCAACGCGGCTGTATTATACACTCGCCACCTAGATGTAGTTAATGCAAAGAAACCTGACACGCCGATGCTCCTTGCCATTGTTTAGCTAATTTTCTTGCCTGCACGCGTACTAGTATATTATGTTATATGCTGTACAAGTTGCTTTACGAGTACCAAAACATTTATTTGAATTTATGATAAAAGTAGACGGTCGGTTCTTAAAAGCTTCGCCGCCTTTGTGTAGGATAGTGTAGACGGTATGGGCCAGTAATCGACGGCAAATTCCTCTTCGGCGTCTTTAACTTGGTTATTGGCCCATTTTCTAAGCAATTCGAAGGATAAGTCGAGTAAAAATCAATTCTTGAGTAAATAAACGGCTGCTTTCCAGAGGCTGGCAAAATAATTGCTCGTCGAGATATGAACAAGCGGAAATAAATAGCAAAACAGGTCGCTCGAGTCTGGCCAGAGAGAGAGAGAGAGAGAACTGCACTTTTGTTGACGACAAAAAAAGAACTGCGCGAATTCTCGACGAAAAGGAAGTTATCTTGCAAGTGAAATATTTGAAAATTTATATAAAAGTTGCTCGTTTCTGCTGGTCGTAGCGCACCGTAGCCTGTTCACTATAATATATGAGTAGCCACTGGCTGTAACTCCGAGACTCGTTTCTTTTTTTCTTCGTATCTCTCGATCCGCGCGGCAGCTGACGGACACGTCCAACGGCGCTCGTTATTAAATTGTTTGCTTCGTTTCGCCGTTTCTTTTTCTCGGCGTGCGTACATAGGCCTGAACTAGAGCTTTGAATAAGAGTAAACAATCGCAATGAGACGTTAGCGAGTCAAAGTTACGCGGCGAATATGTGCCAGTAGTGAGGAGCGATCGATTAATCGTCACTTTCACGAAGAGCTCGAACCGGCCGAGACATCGCGATGTGTACAAGGTAGATTCGGGACTCCGCGTATATACGACGGAGCTCGTTACGGAGCTCGCGCTAATGTCCTAGTGAGGCGAGCATTTACAGTTGTATATACGCGACTCGCGAGCTACTGTATTACAGCTGCTTGCGCTCGTGGCGGCTTTGTGTATCCGTTAGCTCACGGCAGACTCGCGCGCGACTGATTGGCCCGACTGCGCACGGAAAATGACTTTTTACTCGCACGAGCCGTTTTTCCGAATGATCGCGCTCGCCATCGCGTGCAGTTATAAAGGCAGCTTATATATATATCGATGAAATATATCGCATCGAAGTACTGTATAGCTCGTCGATCCGGACGCTGATTAACGATCCCGAGCCGGCGTTATTTCATTTTGCCTCCATGTAAATTTCGGCCAGATCGTTTTGTTCGGCGCATCGAATATTATACGTATGTATAGCTGCGGGATGATCGTCGCGCATCATTTTACACCAACCGGATATCTGCGCGTATTATATACGTATGCGTATAAATTGAAAAGTCGGTCACTTTCTCGCCTTTTTTCTTCTGCCAACGCGAGCGAGTGCGCGCACACATTACTTGGGTTATATATATACGCGCGTCCTTATTTTGATTTACTTTTAATTTTTGCTCTACATGCGCGCCAAAGCAGATGTCTTGCCGCGCGCTCAAATACCGTTGGACGAATTTCCCTCTCTCTCTCTTTCGAGATGATCTAAGCGAGCGAGTACGCCAGCAGCAGGCATAAATTATGCAGCCTCGGACAAAGTAAGTAAGTAAATATACATTCGCTGCTGCTGCGTCGATAGTACAAGAATCGCGTCGAGTGCAGAGGATAAATAGGCTCGCAACACACCTACCATATAATAGCGACCGCCAGCGAGAAAGACCATTCGTTATGCTACGAGTTGGACAGGTGCAGGCTTTTTCATTGTTGTCTCTAGGCCGTGTTGACATATCTCAAGATTAGCGCCCAGGCACACGCGTATACTCGCGCAAGTTTAACATAGGCCAGCTCGCGCGCGCACACATATATAGCTGCCGAGCTGCGCAGGTGAATCGAGACTGCACAGCGCTCGAGTCCATCTCGCTCGAGAGTTGACAAAAGGGCTAAGCGACGTACTAGCGTCTCCTTACGTAAAGTCGATTTCGTGCGCGCACGGCATTAATAGCAGCAGCAACCCGAGAAAGAGATAGTCGCTCGACGCACCTTATGGGCGCGGATTAGGCTTTACTTTGCTCTCGACTCTCTGTCTCGCTACTGCAACTATTATATACACTACATATGCAACGAGCCGAGCATTACATACAGCGCATTCGTATATGAGCTCGCGCGCGCATATATACTTACTCTCTTGTGTACACGTATACCGTTACACATATACACGTCAAAGACGCGGCCTCACCCACTTTTGCGCTCGAATTTTTGTTTCTCCCCCGCACACACACACACGCGACTGTTATGTTACGCGCGCGAGAGACTCTTCTTTTGTCTGGCTGCAAGCGAGGAATTTTAATCAGTCCGCTTACGCACGCATGTGCGAGATTTACGACGCGTTTAATGCGCGCGACTCGATCGAATCTGATGAATTTTAACCGCAGAGCTGCTACGTGCGATTACGCAAACGCAAACTACGACGCGATCGAACGGAGCCGAGAAAAAACAATTAGTCCATTAGATTGGGCGGATCGGAGATTTGCGCGCGTAACCGAGCAGCAGCGGGGAGCAGCGGGTATATATAATAACAGCCGACACCAGCTTATACAGCGAAGCTATATACACACGACTGCTGTGTAGTACTTTCTGTTATTATCGCGGCCCATCGCTCGCCGATCGACAACTGCAATATTATACAAGATAAGCCGCTCGACGACTTTCTAGTCGCGCACAAGCTCGAGAGCCTCCGAGTACACGGCTTTTAGCTGCTGCTGCTGCTGCTGCTCCCAATGGCGATCGATAGCTTGAAAAATCAGCAACGTCGCGCTTCGTCCAAGCCGTATGTTACTCGGCGTGTTATACACGCTGTATGCGCCGCATGTACAATAGCATTAAATTTCTGCCACGTACGGGCATACATCTCTTTCGGGCTAGCTTCGGAGGGCGAAGATATCCTGTACGAGTGCCTCGTGCGGCATACGAAATCGCGTCTACGCGCGCATTACCCCCGGACACTTTTTCCACTTTTCCAGCTGGCAAAGTCGGAAATGCCGAGTCTGTATACATGCGCTTACATGCTGCACTACTACGTCGATGAATGATTAATTTGAATATTGCGTAAAAGTGCAGTGCGCGGGAGAAAGAGAGCAAGATCGTGTCCGCGTGCAG